GGCAAAAAAGGTAGGTTTTAAGATGGAATTTCAAGGTAGAGGAGAGGAAGAGGGGGAGTGCCAGAGTTTTGGGATGTGGGAACTGAAGGCACGGCCACTCATAGTGGGGCGGAGAGGACGGAGGACGCAGAGCAAGTCCGAGCTCACTGAGCAGAGCGGGAGACCGGAGGAGCAGAGGTAATGGAGCCTGGTCCTTCCTTACTGTTTTTATACGCGATTAACTTCCTCCCCAGAAGGAAGCCAGCGACCAACAGGAACACTGCACCAACAGAGACACAGCTAATCAGGATCCATCTTGTTGGCTCTATGAACAAAAGAAAGTTAGGTGATCAATTCAGCTTATATTTACACAGCGCCTCTCAGATCAGAGGGACGTCTCAACACTGCTGCTGGGTTGGATGGGCCTGGGGTAGAAGCCCAAAGGGTTTGGGAGGGAAAAGATGAACGAACACGAGGTCGAAGAAATGGTGTTTCGAGACCTGCCTTGACAGAGGGGAGGGAGCGATGGGAGTCAGGGGACTCCAGAGTGGAGCTCCAGGAAGAGGGGGTAGATCTGCTCAAAAAAAATTGGTCCCTCAATCCACGACTGCGAGACACCGCTGTGAGCAATTGGCTTGCCGTTGATTGCACTGATAATAAAGCGTATGGTTGCGGTGTCTACCTGCCTCAGCGGCTCACACTCTGAGCAACAATAATAATTTGGTCACTCAATCCACAACAGTTTGCGGGACACTGCTGTGCGCAATTGGCTGCCGCGTTTCACCCTCAAAATGTACAGAAAATTCACTTTATAATAATAATAATAATCCTTGCATTTGGTGTAGAGTTGTTCATGTCTTCGAGACAGAATATACTGTAAAGTGAATGGACTGTATAATTTGTGGGCGAAATGCAGCAGCCAATTGCTCACAGCAGCGTCCCACAAACAGTCGTAGATTGAGTGACCAAATTATTATTGTTGCTTTTTTTTCTTGAGGGATTGTTATCAGGTGTGTGGAGTAAGGAAACGTGCCCAAGGTTTCGCCCTGGCGGGATTCAAACCCAGGTCTCTTGCTTGCGAGGCAAGTGCTCTAACCCCTGAGTCTACAATGAGTATCTTCTGTGAAGCGCTTTGAGACATCTCACTGCAAATGCAAGGATTATCATTAATATTATTAACGCAAGCCCCCACTCCAATGCCACTCAGGTCCGTGAACAGCTAACTGTGTTTGGAACTGCAACCTCCTGTGGAGCTCAGTGAGCGGGCAGAAGCTCAGCTGTAACTAACTCAATCCTTAGTGTGGATCTATAGAAACATAGAAGTTGCTAGACGAAAAAAGGATCAAGGTCCATGCAGTTTGCCTTCTACCATCCTGGTAGTTGCATGCTACAATGATGGAGATGTTAATAGCAATGAATTATGTTTGGATTAGCCTTCAACAGAGTAGAAAACTTTGGGAAGCTTAGATCCAAAGTTATAACAATAGTAATCCTCGCATTTGATACAGCGCCTTATCACGTCTTCGAGACGTCTCAAAGCGCTTCACAGGATATACCGTAACGTGAATTGATTGTATATTTTTGTGGGCAAAATAGTAGAGTTGGCTGATTCCTCCAAGTATACAACAATTTACTAAACAACATGTCTCAAATTACTCATCCACTGGATCCCAAAATACCATTTTCTAAAAAGAAATCTATCTCATTTGCGTTTGAAAGAATCGGCACTTTCTGCTTCCACTGTCTCCCTAAGGAGCCTGTACCATGGATTTACCACTCGCTCACTGAAATAGTGTTCCCGCAGATTGGTTTTGAAATGCCCCCTCCAGTTCAATCTCAGGCCATGTTCCTCTGGTTCTACTGTTCTGGCCAAGATGAAACAGCCTGACATGGTGGACGTTAATCTAACCCTTTAGAGTCTCGAAAGCAGCAATCTCCGTTCAGTAAAGCCATACCGTTCTGTGGGGGCTGCTCACTGGGACCTGGGCTCCTGGTATCCCAACTGTCAGTTGTCGTGTTGGTGGAGAGTACTAGAAAGAAACAGGAGGTCAGAGTGAGCGCTTCAGAGGACGTTTTCAGAACATACATCTGCACAACGAGAACTGTGTTGCGAAGATGGCTGCACCTACAGTGATTCAATACGGTTTTGTTTACATTTACACAGCACCTTCCACATCGGGAGGACGTCGCAAAGCACTTGACCGCTGCGCTTTGGGTCTTCAGTTCCCCCACCCTCACCCCCTGGGAACCGCAGGGAGTGAAGAGGGAAACGAGAGGGGAAAGGTGACCAGAAGCGCTGTCAAAGAGTTATATCCTGGTGGGTGAATTTCATTCTGAGGGGTTGGAACAGGCACGAGTAGGATATGGAGCACCCACACATATATATATACACACACACATGCATACACACACATGCATACACACACACAGTTGCTTTAGGAGAATCTCCTCTGAATTTATGTTGAGACAAGATGTCAGCCTGGCTCAGTCGGTATCGGTCCTGCCTCTGGGTCAGAATGTTCATAGTCTTAACATCAACATCAGGACAGTTAGAAACTGCGATCAGAAAGCATTTCTTCACACAGAGATTTGTGAGGATAAGGAACTCTCTGCCCCAGAAGGCTGCTCAAGTGGAATCAATGCGAACGTTTAAAAGAGAGACAGACGGAGACTTGAATAGTAGCGGTATAATGGGGTTTGGTGAAAGGGCACAGACATTGGGATTAAAAGATCTGTCAAGATCTAATTAACTGCTGGAGTAGGCTTGATGGCCTGAATGGCCTCCTTCCTGCCCTACTTTCCTTTATTCCTACGTTTATGTTCCATTAAGGTCCTGCAGTTTAGGTCATAGCCCTGTTGACGAGCGTGTCACCTTCGGATGAGATGTTAAACCAAGGTCCTGTTTGCCTGTGGCCAACTGCTCAGTAACTCAATAACTACCCAAGTCTCTGTCCTGTCCTGCAGCAAAATCGATCACTCACTTCCTAGTTTTTCGCGGAACATTGATGTGCGCAAAATGGCTGCCGTGTTAGCCAACAAATACACAGTCATTACACATTACAGCAGTTTTCTGTGAACTGTTTTGTTTAAGGTCGCAAAAATAGTAGAGGAAGAGGAGCAAAACGCAGATCAGAAATGGCTGCCTAATTGTAACAGCGCATACATAGAAGAAGAATTGTAACATTGACAGTATATATTTATGGTTGTGTAATTTAGAGGTTGCGTACCTTCTTTGCTAGTGAATGAATCAGTTCTGTTTTGTGAGATGGCTGAAATAATAAGGAAATGTTTCTCAGTGGGAGGAAGCAGCAGAAAGCAAAGTTAACGCCTCAGCTTGCGGACACATCAGGCATCTTTAGTTGTTTGCTTCAGCAAGAGCTGCTGTTTCTGAGTGAAGCACCTCCTTGCCTTGTTCCTCGGCCCCAAAACCTCATTTAGTTGAGTTCCTCCCTCTATCTCTCTCTCTCTCTCTCTCCCCCCCTGAATTGTGGAGAGGAGAGGAGGTCTCGAGACCTTCCTTGTCGACAACGCCTTCTGTTACTCTCCTACCCTCATCCCTCCTGACCCCAACCCCCAGCTCGGTTGTAGGAGAGGACATAGGCTGCAGAGTTCTGGATGGTCACCTGGTCTTCGCTGGAAACGCACAATGGTTTGCAAATGAATGGAAATTTATTTTCCTGTTAAATCCTCTCGCTAAGTGTTAGTCTCATTCTCTTATCTCCCTCACTCTGTATCTCGCTCTGGTGTGTTTTTCGTTTCCAGTATCTGCGGTGAGGTTTGTGCCTGAGAACAGCATTGACATCTCTCTGCAGAACTTTGCTCGCTGCAGGTATCTCATTAGCTGCTTCTCTGTAAATATTGATCTCTCAACCACTTCCTCTGATCTTCGTTTTATTTTACCGTCCTTTGGATAAAACGTTAAACCAAGATTCCATCTCTGCCTGTTCAGATGGACATTAAAGATTCCCATGGCACGGTTCGAAAAGAAAAGGGAGTTCCTCTCTCTCTCTCTCTCTCCCGGTGTCTTGGCCAACAATCCCCCAGATAAAAATAAGTCACTCACTTCATGGCCTTTTGCGGAACATTGCTGTACTCAAATTGCCTGTCCCGTTCGCCCATAAAACACAGAAAGTCACATCACTTGATAGCAATATTATGTGAAGTGCTTTGAGATGTCTCGATGACTTGCTAAGGCGCTCAATCAAAAAAAAAATGCAAGGATTCTTCTGGGTTTAATTGGTTCTGTTGAAGGTTTAAACTTGACATTGATTGTTCTGGTGTATTTCCCGCTTCTGTGTCTGCAAACTTACACAACTCGGGGCTGGGGTGGGGAGGGAGGGAGAGCGACAGAGTAAAATGACACCACAAACATATGCAGGGACTACTTGCTCAGACTGCTGCTCTCTCGTCTTTTGCTCGAAAGGTTTTGAGTTTAAGCCTCACATTGAGCCTTTGAGCTCACAGATGAGACTGACAGTGCTGTACTGGGGGAGTGGGGGTGCAGGGTGGGCACTGCATTGCTGGATGCATCTTTTGGATAATAATAATAATAATCCTTGCATTTGGTATAGTGCCTTATCACGTCAGAAGGATGTCTGAGATGGATAGATTTCTTGTGGATAAAGGGATTAAGGCAGGTAGGTGGCGTTAGAATAGATCAGCCATGATCTTATTGAATGGCGGGACCGAATGGCCTACTCCTGCTCTTACTTCTTATGTTCTTATGTCTCAAAGGAATTAATGTGAAATGGAGTGAATATGTATTTGTAAGCAAAGTGTCAGCAATATTGCACGCAATAAGGTCCCACAAACAGCCATGAAACAAATGACCAATGTTTTTATTTTGGGCAGTTGATGGTCAGGACACCGGGAGAGAGAACATCCTTTCCATTTCGAATAGCAGCGGGAGATCTTTGACGTCCATCTGAACAGGCAGACTGGACTTCGGTTTAACGTCTCATCTGAAAGGAGGCACCTCCGACAATGCAGCTCTCCCCCTAGCGCTGCATTAGAGTGTGGGCCTAGACTGTGAGTTCAAAGTCTCGAGGTGCCATTTGACCCCCCGCTACCTTCTGATCCAGAAGAGTGGGTGCCATCGACAGAGCCAGGTTGACACCTAAGACTTGGATAAATTGGATTCAGTACCAATTTTACACTTGTATAGCATCTTTCAAGCCAGGAGGACTTCCCAACGCGATTGGATAAGTTGCATGGAATTTAAGATAATTTATAATTCTGACAATTTTACATTTCAAAGACAAAATGGTCTTTCTTACACGCTAAGATTGGGTGGTATTTTGGACCAATAATTTGGCTGAACAACACGTACCGTACACTTGCAGGCTTGTCCCATTGCCGGAGTCTCTGTGCAAGGAAGGTATCTCAATGAAAACCTCACAGACGTACAGGCCACTGTCGTGAGGATTGACATCAGAGATAGTGAGGGAGGCAAACGTGGAATTAAAGTTATGCTGTGTCCTGTTTTGGTAAGTTTGGAAGGCTTTGCTCATTTTATTCTTGGCGGTCAGCACTGTTAAGCTTCCTTCTGGCCAATGCTTGTTCCATTCTATTCGCAAATCCTTGCTCGAGCTGTTAAACTTACAGACCATGGTTACCGAGCCCCCTGGTTCCTGCCATAACTTCTCTGGTGTCTGTACGACTTCCAGGAACTGATTGCTCTGCACTGTGAAGAAAGCAGAAGTGAGGAATCTGAAGACATTGAATTATTCAATGGTCCTGTGTAAAAATAATTACCATCACAAACACTTAATTAATGTGCCAAGACAAATTATTGTCATAATAATAATCCTTGCATTTGATGCAGTTGCATTCTCAGAGGTGGCGTCCTTCAAAATATGCAATCAATTCACGTTGCAGTATATTCTGTGAAGCGCTTTGAGACGTCTAGAAGACGTGATCAGGCGCTATATAAAATGTAAGGATTATTATTATTATTTAACTGAACGGAAAACATAAGTTCCAACAACAATAATAATAATCCCTGAATTTAATACAGCGCCTTTTAACGTGTTCGAGCCGTCTCAAAGCGCTTCACAGAATATACTGTAAAGTGTAGCGACTGTATATTTTGTGGGCGAAACACGGCAGCCATTTGCGCACAGAAGCGTCACCACAAACAGTCGTGGATTGAAGTGAACACATTAGTATTTTGGTTTATAGGAATTATTACCTCCAGAAAAGCGATCCGCCAATCGACTAACAACCAGGTTCCTACTTACTGCTCGGTAAATAGAGGCGTCTGGAGTAAGGAAACTTGCCCAACATTTCGCACTGCCAGCATCAAACCCAGGCTTCTCACTTGCGAGGCGAGTGCTCTAACCACTGAGCTGCAGACCTGCGGTGGTTTTGTTTACGTCATCTCCTGTAAATTGCCCAGTAGCTCAGTGGTTAGAGCATTCACTTTGCAAGTGAGAGACCTGAGTTCAATTCCAGGCAGAGGGCGAAACCTTGGGCAAGTTTCCTTACTCCACACAGCGCCTAATAATAATCCTCCAAAACCAAAAACAATAATAATAATTGGTCATTTTCAATCTACGACTGTTTGTGGGACATTGCTGTGCGCAATTGGCTGTCGCGTTCGCCCACAAATACACAGTCAATTCATTTTACAGTGTGTTCTGTGAAGCGCTTTGGGACGTCCTCCCGACGTGAAAAGCGCTATATCAAATGCAAGGATTATTATTGTTATTATAGCTGTTAACCATATTCAATTCACATATTATGCAGAAAAAGGGATACACAGACCACAAGGTTTACTTGGCAGCAGTCCAGAGTTTGCCTGGAGCTCCACTCGTAGAGCAGTTACCATCACTAATCAATTCTGTTTTTAATTGTTCCAATAACTGAAGGGAGGACGTCCCAAAGCGCTTCACAGGATTCACCGTAAAGCATAGTCGCTGCGTGTTTTGTGGGCGAATGCAGCAGCCAACAGGAACATCCCACAAACAGCCATGAAGTGAGTGACCAAATATATCGCGGTGGGGGGTGAATTGTCGGCCAGGATACCACATGAGAGAGAAACTTATTGACACACAATTAATACAATTATTGACCATTGAACTGCTGCACAGAAAAGAACGAGTCCTTAAAAAATATCAACTTCCTTCCTTTAGAACGTTACAGCACAGAAGAAGGCCATTTGCCCATCGTGTCTGTGGTGGCTCTTCGAAAGGGCAATCATTTTAGTCCCATCAACCTGCCTTTCCACCCCACCTCCTCCCATACCTCTCCACATTCTGATATTCGTGGAGTCCTGTAGCTGAGTGGTTAGAGCACTCGCTTTGCAAGTGAGAGACCTGAGTTCAATTCCAGGCAGAGGGCGAAACCTTGGGCAAGTTTCCTTACTCCACACAGAGCCTAATAATAATCCCTCCAAAACCAAAAACAATAATAAATTGGTCATTTTCAATCTATGACTGTTTGTGGGACATTGCTGTGCGCAATTGGCTGCCGCGTTCGACCACAAATATACAGTCAATTCACTTTACAGTGTATTCTGTGAAGCGCTTTGGGACGTCCTCCCGACGTGAAAAGCGCTATATCAAATGCAAGGATTATTATTATTAGTAGTATTATCTATCTACTGCCTTCTCGAGAGTTAACGTATATACTACCTTGGCCACTGTACTCTAAGGGCATTCCACATCCTAACAACGCTGTAAAAAAAAATCCTTTTAATCTCCCCTCAGCTAATTATTTTAAATTAATGCCTCCAGACACTGTCTCACTGATCAGTGGAAATAATTTCTCCCTATTGATTATTGCGTAAGAGGCCAACAAAATATCACCGCGTCACGATCTCTTTAAAGGTCACACGTAATGCAGTTTACATTCATACAGTGCCTCTCACGTGCTTTACACTGCCGGCTCCGGTGGGGGTGGGGTGGGGGGGGGGGGTGTGGGTGGTTGTGTGGGAGATGAAGTGGTGGTTGGGGAGGGGGAGGGAAAGATGGCTGAAAGTGTGTGCAAAGAGATACGTCTTGAGGTGGGCTTTGAAAGTCAGAAGATTGGCGTTTCAGAGGGAACGTGACAGAATGTCTGAAAGCACGTTGAGACGGACCCTGGATGCGAGAGGCACTGTGTATCAAATGCAAGGATTATTATTTTGTTAAAACGTGGGCTATTAAAGCATCAGTAACTGGCATTATACATGGTGATCAAAGCGTAGTGATACCATTACAATGTCTAATACGTCTTAAAGAAATGGCGTTTTTTTTCAGATAATAGGGTAGTTATCACGACTTTTTGGTCACCCCGTACTACAACGACGACGACGACAACAACTTGCATTGCGGGACACTGCCGTGCGCAATTGGCTGTCGCGTTTCGCCCCCAAAATATACGCGCTTTGAGATATCTCAAAGAAATGATAAAGCGCTATATCAAATGCAAGGATTATTATTATAATTATTATTATTATAATATGTAGGCCCTCATACAGCATAGGGTCCCAGGGCGCTTTTTGCTGCGATGCGATTTAACGTGGATTGGAAAAAAAAACAAGTCTGGCTGTGTGCAGCCCACATTAAACACTGCAGAGACAGCTGAAAGCAATGGTGTTGTAGACCGACAGCTCCTCTGAGCAGCTTTGCACCCACCACACTCGTCACACTTTCTCCGCAGTCAGGCTTGTCTGGTCAGGCAGCAGTGGGTCAACTACCAAACTCCTTAACCACGAGCTCGAGGCATGTTGTGCTAATTGACGGGAAACTTGTGTGACAGTAACTCAAAAGGTTCAGCGGTCTCTTCGAGCAGTGCTGGTGAGCTGAAACCCAGTTGAAGTTTCTTATAACATTACATTAAGAATAATAGTAACCCTTGCAATTTGATATAGCGCCTTATCACGTCTTTGAGACGTCTCAAAGCGCTTCGCAGAATATTCTGTAAAGCGGAGTGACTGTATGTTTTCTGGGCGAATCGCGGTAGTGGATTGAGTTACCAAATTATCATTTTTTTTAAGGGATTATTGCCCCCAGAAAGTGATCCGTCAATCGACTAAAAAGCGGGTTCCTACTTACTGCCAGTAGTAATAATAATAATAATCCTTGGATTTGATCTAGCACCTAATCACGTCAAATATACTGCAAAGTGAATTAACTGTACATTTTGTGGGCGAAATATATTCATCCCCCCCCACGACAAGCACCTCTCTGTGACCTGGAACTGAGCTGCACAGAGACACGCTTTGAGCATTGCTCTGCATTGCTGATCTCAGCCGAGCCAGAGCAAGGCACTGCAATTGACCTCAATTTCCCCCTCCTGTCTGTGAGAGGGGGGAAATTCCGCAAGGTTTTTGTTCCCAAATGGCTCTCCAGAGTCCTCTGCCAGGAGCTCCACGTGTGCACGGTGGGTGAGGACAGGATCTGTCTTGGCTGCGATGCCCCCACAAGTCACAAACCCTGTCAGACACTCACAATCTTGGCTCACACATGAAGAATCATCACGTGGACACCTGTAGCACTTGACTCGCAAGCAAGAGGACCTGGGTTCAACTCCAGGCCAGGGCAAAACCTCTAGGCAAGTTTCCTCGCTCCACACGCCTCTGCTTACCAAGCAGCAAGTAGCAACCCGGTTGTTAGTCAATTGGCGGATCGCTTTTACGGGGGTTCTAATTCCTTCAAAATAAATTGAAATTATTTGCTCACTCAATCCACGGCTGTGTGTGGGATGTCAATTGGCTGCCGCGTTTCGCCCATAAACTATACGGTCAATTCACTTTACGGTATATCCTGTGAAGCGCTTTGAGACGTCTCGTAGATGTGATAAGGCGCTATTTCAAATGCAAGGATTATTATTATCGTTATTATTGCTCGTACAAGATACTGGAAAGGTGGCGGATGGGACTACAGATCCGACACAGCTCCACGATGCCTAATGGTCCGAGCACATTAAGACCAACTCTTTAAAAACCTGGATTATGTTGCCCCGCCATAGTATATTTTCCAACACCTCATTGTTCTTTTTGATGATACGTTTCTCCGAAACGGCACATATTGTGGCAAATATGGTCATACACTTCATGGCTGCCTGTGGGATGTCAATCTAAGGTCCCGTTTCCCGTTTCAGATGGACGTTTAAGATCCCATGGAGTTTAACAGAAGAAGAAGTTGGACAGTTTTATTTTTGTGTGTTTCTGTTCTTCTTTATGCCTTGTTTTATTCTGCTTTTGTATTTTCCCTCTCCTGGGCTACGATTTCATCATGGCGGCCCTCTTAAAATTCGAGGTCATGCAGAATTTTGGATAATTCTTACAACTTAACCGTAATTTTGAAACTTGCTTTTTTTTCCCCGCTGTTTTAAGAATTTTATCCACAATTTCTGCATGATCTTCCCTTTTCAATCCACGTAGATCAAGAGTTTAATAATGTTTGACATATAGCTTTATTTCGGCATTGAAATATCTCGAAGCGATTCACAGAATTTTCTGTAAAGTGTAGTGACTGTGTAGATTTGTTGGCAAATGCAGCAGACAATTTGCACACAGCAATGTCCCACAAACAGCCATGAACTGGAGTGTGTTAGATGCTGTTATTACGTAATACCAACTAGTGTGCAGATGTTTCTTCAACCAAACGTTGATATCATTAGTATTTGAGGACAAAAAATGTCCTCAGTTGCTAATTATATTAACGTTTGTACTGGTTAAAGTCAGAGAATATATCTGCCAAATATAGCCTCAGGAATATGGCCAAACACTCTTACATTCTTAGAGAAGTGAAAGAAGTAATAATAATAATAAATAACCCTTGTATTTGATGTAGAACCTTATCACGTCTTCGAGACGTCTCAAAGCGCTTCACAGGATATAACGTAAAGTGAATTGACTGGATATTTTGTGGGTGAAGCGGCAGCCAATTGCACACAGCAGCGTCCCACAAACAGTTGTGGATTGAAGTGACCAATTTATTATTTTTTAAGGAATTTATCACCCCTGGAAAAGCGATCGGCCAATCGACTAACAACCGGGTTTCTACTTACTGCTGGGTAAACAGAGGCGTGTGGAGTAAGGAAACCTACCCAACATTTTAGCCTGCCGGGAATCGAACCTCGATCTCTTGCTTGTGAGGCGAGTGCTCTAACCACGGAGCTAAAGGACTCCAAGCAGACAAGGATTGGGGGAGGCAGGGCAAGAGGAAAGTGGGGAAGACCTGTACTAAGGGAATACAGTGTGGTTTAGACAATTAGAAAGTGGAAGAGAATGTAATGAAAGGCCAAGGATATGTGAAACCATGCTTTCTCGAGCTTTAAAACACTCACCTGTACACAGCAAAAGCCCCAACGTGAAGAGTTTCTTCAGTAAATCCATCCGGGGACAGCGGCTCAGATCGGGAATCCCGTTCGGAAAGAGAGAACCGTTTTCGTGTGTAGTTTTGTTGAGAAACTAAATGTGAATTCACTGCATTATTTCAGCCCATTGCACCCCTGTTTGAGAATGTGTGGAGATGAGCCCTAACCTCCCTGTGCAGACGCGTATGGCTTATCATTGCCTCTAACATCCTGCCACAAAGTTCCTGTGTGAGACGCCTCGCGGTTCGACTCACTTCAATATCTGGTGGTTGCTATGACATTTTACTGAGTGTATCTCTTGCTCTGTTTTCACTCGTACCTAGAATAAATAAATAAATAAATAAGCTTCCTCAGAGAGCTGAATGAAATGGTCCGATTTCATTCAAGATCCTCTCACTCGTCTACAAACCCCTTCAGACCCTGACACCTCTCTACTTTTCCGACAGGCTTTCTCACCGCTCCGCTACCCGCTGCCTCCCCTCGGCTGGCTATGACCTCCTGCTCCTCCCTCATCACTTCTGCTCCACCATCAGCGGTCGTGCTTTCAGCCACTATGCCCCCGAAGCTTTGGAACTCTCTCCCGCAGGCTTTGAGCTCACAGTCTAGGCTGGGGTGTGGTTGGGGGGAGAGTTCTCTCTGATAAGAGATGCCTTCAGTTGAGACATTAAACCGAGGTCCTGTCTGCCTGTTCAGGTGGATTTTAAAGAAAGGAGTTACTCCCAAAGTCCTGACAAACAATCTCCTGAATAAAATTGCTCATTCACTTCATGGCTGTTGCTGAGATGCTGCTTATCACAAATTGGCTCCCGCATTTGCCTACAAAATACACAGTCACTCCACTTTGCAGTATGTCCTGTGAGACATTTCGAAACGTCCTCCTGACTTGAAAGGCGCAGTACCAAATGCAAGGATTATCATTATTATTATTTTGAGATGGAAGGAGGTACAAGATCACAGGATCGGCCTGGATGAAGAAGACACTTCGGCCCATCTGATCTCATCGCTCCAAAACACTCACACTACCATCCCCATCACTGCATCTGCTTTTTAAATTAGTCCCAATATCCTAACCTCAACCACCCTTCCTGGAAACCTCCTCTTCGACCATGCCATTGGTCACCCCCGTTCCCCTCCCCTCCCTTCTTCCCCCCTGACCCCAGCTCGGGTCTGAAATGCTGTACAATGTCCAGCACCTTGGGACGTCCTCCCGATGTGAAAGGAGCTATACAAATGAAATCTTTTTGCTGTGGTTCCTGTCGTTAATTATCCTCTGTGTATTTTGTGGGCGAAACGCAGCAGCCAATTGTTCACAACAGTGTCCCACAAACAGTCGTGGATTGAGTAAACAAACGATATTCAGAGTTGTAAAGGGCATTGCAAAGATCTTTTGACGATGCATATATCTCAGGATTGAATCTCTGATTTCCCTCTTATCACCTGTATTATCAGCGGCGTTTTTTGTTGATCAGATCTTAACAATGTCGTTCTTTCTCACATCATTCACACTTCCTTGAGTTTGTCATAGATTTCTAGTACCAGATGTTCTTGTTGTTCTGATCTGGGTAACACAGCAGCAGGGCGAGTTTTGAAAGAAACGTGTACAGAGAAGAGCCAGGTTCTGAGCTGTGTGCAATGATGGCTCAGTGGGAATGTTCCCTGATTCCAATACTCAATGCAATGTCGATTGAAAGCAAATAATAATAATCCCTGCATTTGATACAGCACCTTACCGCATCTTCGAGACATCTCAAAGGGCTTCACAGGATATAGTGTAAAGTGAATTGACTGTATAGTTTGTGGGCGAAACACATTTACTGTAAAAGGATTTACTGTAAAGTGTGGTGTATGTGTGTTTCGCGAGTAATTTCCCACAAGCAGCCAATTTTTTCTACTTGTATTTGAAGAGATTATAATTTAATTTGATTCAAACAAATTTGATCTTCACCTCAATCCTCAAAGATTTGATATTCCAAAGAAAGGGACGTCCCCTCGGGTTTGTGTGTGCGGAGAGAAAGCTCGGTAAATCCCAATAAAGGACGACACCAAACAAACTCAAATGAATTCGAACCAATACAAGTTTCTTTTCGTCCATTGCTTTGCGTGAAACAACAACAAGAACAACAAGATTCCATTTATAAGCGCCTTTCACGTCAGGAGGACGTCCCAAGGCGCTGCACAGTTGGGTCATGACCCGAGCAGGGGGGAAATGGTCAGGGTGAGGGGAGGGAAGGGAGGGAGCGAGGAGGGGGGAAATGGTCAGGGTGAGGGGAGGGAAGGGAGGGAGCGAGGAGGGGGAAGAGAGTCGAGAGGGGAGCTGAAGGCTCGGTCAAAGAGAAAGGTTTTGAGACCGGCCTTGAAGGAGGAAAGGGAGGAAGCGGCGAAGGCACTGGGGGATGGAGTTCCAGAGCCTGGGGCTGAGAGGCTGAAGGCCCGACCACCGATGGTAGGGCGGTTGGGGCGGGGGACGTGGAGCAGACCGGAGCCAGAGGAACGGAGGGTACGGGCAGGTAGGTAGGGGGATAGTAGGTTGGAGAGGTAGGAGGGAGCAAGGCCGTGAATGGCCTTGTAGGTGAGGATGAGGATCTTGAAATCAATCCTCTGGGGGATGGGGAGCCAGTGGAGGCGAGCGAGGGTGGGAGTGATGTGGTCGCGAAGCCTGGTGCGGGACAGTACACGAGCTGCAGAGTTCTGAATGACCTGCAGCTTGTGGAGGGAGGTGGCGGGAAGGCCGGCGAGGAGAGAGTTCCCATAGTCCAGCCTTGAGGTGACAAAGGCGTGAACCAGGGTTTCAGCAGCGTGAGGGGTGAGGTAATGCCGTAGTCTGGCGATGTTCCGGAGGTGATGGAAGGCGGTGCCAGTTGTGGTGCGGATGTGAGGGAGAAAGGACAGCTCAGGGTCGAACAAAACGCCGAGGTTCCTGACTGGCTTTGAGAGGTGGAGAGTGCAGCCTTGGATGCTGATGGTGTCAGCGCCTGAGGTGCGGAGGCGCTGACGTGAGCCAATCAGGAGGGCCTCGGTTTTTCGCACGTTGAGCTGAAGAAAGTTGTCTCTCGTCCAGGACTCGATGTCGGACAGGCAGCTGTCAGGACATCGGTGGTCGTGGAGTTGAGAGTAGAGGAGGAAAGGTAGAGTTGGGTGTCATCCGCATACATGTGGAAGTTAACCCATGTCTGCGGATGATGTCACCAAGGGGGAGCATATAGAGGGTGAAGAGGAGGGGACCGAGGACAGAGCCCTGAGGGACACCACATGAGACAGTACGGGGGGTGGAGGAGAAGCCATTCGTCGAGACAAAGTGAAGACGGTGAGAAAGGTACGACCTAAACCATTCAAGGACAGTGCCTTGAAGGTTGAGGTGGGAGGACAAGCGGTGGAGTAGGATAGCGTGGTCGACCGTATCGAATGCTGCCGATAGGTCGAGGAGGACGAGGAGACAGAGGGAGCCCTGGTCACAGATGGTCAGGATATCATTGGTGACCTTGACCAGGGCAGTTTCTGTGCTATGAGCAGCACGGAAACCTGACTGAAGGGGTTCAAAAGAGAATGGGTGGAAAGGAAAGAGCGCAGTTGGGAGGCGACAACTCTTTCCAAGACCTTGGAGAGAAAGGGGAGGTTGGAGATGGGCCGGTAGCTTGATAGCTGCGACGCATCAAGGGAGGGTTTTTTCAGGGTGGGCGTGATGATGGCAGTTTTTAATGGAATGGGGACAGAGCCAGAGGAGAGGGACAGGTTGATGATGTCAGTGATATGTGGGGCAAGAAAGTGAAAGCAAGATTAACCTCATCCAGTGTAGAGTGTAGGCGGAAAAGGGAGATGGAGGGAGTGAAAGGGGGGGGTTCCGTAATCCCAGAAAAGAAAGAGGGTATTTTGGGGTCATTCGGGTGTCCGACACACACGGAAACCCATTACCACGTATCCAAAGTATCCAAACCAAATAAACCACGACTGTTTGTGGGACATTGCTGTGCGCAATTGGCTGCCGCGTTCGCCCACAAATATACAGTCAATTCACTTTACAGTGTGTTCTGTGAAGCGCTTTGGGACGTCCTCCCGACCTGAAAAGCGCTATATCAAATGCAAGGATTATTATTATTATTATTATTATTATTAACTGTTTCCACAGAGGTTGACACCCTGCTCACTGAATCCCAGAGTGTACAGCATTGGGCGCAGGTTGGCAAGAGCCAAGGCCCTCGCGGCTCCAGAGTGTGCGATGGGGATAAAGGCTGGAGTTTAACCAGCTTTCTACTGCAAACATCGGTATGTTTCCCACTTCCTGGGACCACCCTAATCATTAAAGCTTTGGCTTGCAGGATATAACAGGAATGAGATGAATTCCAGCCTCCTGAGGCTTGCCTGCACCAACAAGTCCTGCTGATGAGCCAGGCTGGCTCCGCAGTCGTCAAAATTACCTTGGAGTACCATGGACCTGCCTGGCTCAGCAACCTGAACTACCGAGACTGCCACAGGGGATCGATTCATTCGGTATAGTGCCTTTCCCGTCGGGAGGAGGTGGCAGCAAAGCACTTTGCGGGAACTTACCGTGAAGTACAGTCGCTGTGTGTTTTGTAGGTGAACGCAGCAGCCAATTTGGGGCACAGCAACGTCCCACAAACAGACATGAAGTGAGTGACCAATTTTATTTGAGGGATTGCTGGCCAGGACACTGGGAGAAACACCTTTCTCTTTTAGAGCAGTGCCATGGGTTCTGTAACATAATTATTATTATTACTCAACATTTTGAAGGGGGGGGCGGACAACCCTGGAGGTGAATGGTTTGAAAAATTGGTACAGAGAGGGTTACTCTCTGCCCATCCAAAGCAGTAATTGGTTGGAAAGTGACCTGATCTAATCTAACAGAGTAACAGAGACTTTCCTTCGTTAGCAGAAGGATTTTAAAGCTTTAGTCAGTTCCTGGGACATTTTTAGAAGCTCTCTGTGGCTTAAAGAAAGGAGCAATGCCTTTCCTCCTGACCTTAAACCGGGTTGGATAAGTCTGGGGTTTTGTGTCTCCTTTGGGAAATGAAACAGACATGTTTTTGTCAATTAATTGCAGTGTGTGTGTGTGTGTGTCTGGGAATGGGAGGGAAGGAGATCAATTTTTTTTAAAGAAAATGCCATTTGGCTATTTATTTGACCGGGTGTGGGTTTAATCAGGATTCGCAACCACCACAGGTACCACTGGAGAGGAAGAAAAAAGGGGAAGGGAATAAAAGCGAAAGGAGGGGGGGAAGAGAGGGAGAGAAAGAAGGGGGGAAAGAAAGGGCGAGAAAATGGGGGGGGAAGAGAGGGAGAAATAGAGAGGGGAAAAGAGAGGGGGAGAAAGAAGGGGGGGAAAGAGGGTGGAGAGAAAGGGGGGGGGAGAGGGAGAGAAAGAAGAGGGGGAAAGAGGGAGGAGAGAAAGAAGGGGGGAAGAGGGGAGAGAAAGAAGGGGGGAAGAGGGGAGAGAAAGAAGAGGGGGAAAGAGGGAGGAGAGAAAGAAGGGGGGAAGAGGGAAGAAAAAGAAGGGGGGGAAGAGAGGGAGAGAAAGAAGTGGGGAAGAGAGAGAGGGGGAGAGAAAGAAGTGGGGAAGAGAGAGAGAGAGGGAGAGAAAGAAGTGGGGAAGAGAGGGAGAGAAAGAAAGGAGGAGAGAGGGAAAGAAGGGGGGAAAGAGAGAGAGGAGAGAGAGAAAGAAAGAAGGGGGGAAAAAAGAAAGAGAGGGAGAGAGAAGGGGGGAAAGAAAGAGAGGGGAGAGAAAGGAAGGAGGAGAGGAGAGGTGAAGCCTCCCCACAGCTGATCAGTAACTACAGTTCCCAGAATCCGTGTGTCTGTGTTGGAGCTGATTTTGCGCAGTGTTTCGGACTCGATTCGCTAATAAACCTCTCCCTCTCTCTCTCTCTCTCTCTGGGCGGCGCTGCGCTTTGTTCGTGGTTTTATTTAAACGCTGTGATATATATATATACATCTAAATAGGAACAGAGAGAGAGAGGGGGAGAGAGAGAGGAGGAGAAGGGAATGCAAAGGGAACCCACTCTCCTGTGGAGGTCTCAGTGGGAGAAGAAGAAAGAAAGACTTTGCCATCAATCAGACAAACCGGACCCCGGAGATGGGGGATTACAATAAGGTGAGTGAGGGGGGAGGGGGGGGGGGGGGGGTTACAGGGCGGAGAGAGAGAGGGGGGGATGGGGAGATGGGGATGATGGAGAGGATGGAGAGATGGGGATGATGGAGAGATGGGGATGATGGGGATGATGGAGAGATGGGAGATGGAGATATGGGGATGATGGAGAGGATGGAGAGATGAGGATGATGGAGAGATGGGGATGATGGGGATGATGGAGAGATGAGGATGATGGAGAGATGGGGATGATGGAGAGATGGGGATGATGGAGAGATGGGGATGATGGAGAGATGGGGAGATGGGGATGATGGAGAGATGGGGAGATGGGGATGATGGAGAGATGGGGAGATGGGGAGATGGGGAGATGGGGATGATGGGAGATGATGGGGATAATAATAATAATAATAGAGATGGGGATGATGGAACGATGGGGATGATGGAGATAATGGAGGATGGGATGATAGAATAATATGGAGAATAATAATAATAATAGAGATGGAGATGATGGAACGATTGGGATGATGGAGATAATGGAGGGATGGGGATGATGGAGAGATGGAGATGATGGAGATAATGATAATAGAGATGGAGAGATGGAGATAATGATAATAATAATAATAATAGAGATGGAGAGATGCTCCTGTTTGGCAAATGTATTTGACCCAAGGTGAATGGGTTCTGTTCTGTTTCGTCCATCGCATTGTGTGAAAGCAACTAATCTCATTCCCTATAGAATATAGGGACCGAGAGGAGAGGAGAGGAGAGGAGGAAGGTGGGGAGATCCCGGCAAAGAAACAAGAGTGGTTATTTAATTGCGGGGTGTGGGGTGTCTGACACATACACAGGAAACCCATTCTTACCACTGCTTAACAAGTATCTAAACCCAAATGACTTGAGTTCCACCTATTACCAGTGTCACAGGTAAAATGGACATGCCTCCTCGTCAATTTCAGCATCAGCTGTGGCCAATTGTAGGCAGTTTGCACCCTCTCCCCCTTCCCCACCCCCCACCCCCCCCAAAAAAAAAGAAAACCTTCAAACAAATCCAAGGTCTTATTTTTATATTTAATAAATTGTGCTTTATTTATCCTTTTATTTAAAAAAATTGCCCTGAATCAAATTCCGTTGCAAATCTTGCGTTTCGCAAACGTGCATCACTGCCATTCTCTCTCTGTGTTTTGTTTTGTGTGTGTTTATTTATATATATGTATATATATATATATTATAAATAAAGAAAGCCCCAGCGCTTTCAACGTGGGGTTCAATCAATTATGAATTACTGGCTGGCCTTCAATGAGGGGTTGTGCAATAATGCATTGACTGCGTTAATTATAATTCGTGGCTGCTCTTGTTATTACATTTACAAATACAGTACAGCCCGAGTCCAGGCCAGAAAAGCACAGTACTGCTAGTGTCTCTTCTCTCTATAATTACATCCTCCCCCATTACCTTACTTTGCCTCTCTCTTCCCTCATCCACAACCCCCCCCACGCTAATGAAAGCATCATTCTGAGCATCTTGCCTTCACTTAAGTGAATTGAAAGCAAGATTGCCTACGTAGCCTATTTAATCCTTTCATTTACTTTAAAGAGTGTGGTTAATACTGTGTGCGGTGGTTTCCAGGGCCTACCTAGCTCTTGAGATAGCCTAAGATTGAACCTCTGCCAATATTTTTTTTTGGTGGAGGGGGAAGGGAGACTGTCACTGGCTGATTCCGGGCTGAATAAGAATAAGTGGCTTGTAGTCTGATGCATTTTGTTTAATTTATGACTGTGAATTGAGTGCGAGTCGGTGATAACCATATCATTATTATTATACCTGGCTGACTGCATTATCGGTGACTGAGGCTGAAGGCTTTTCAACTGTGCACCCCGGCTCTTTGTGGGACATTGCTGTACGCAAACTGGCTGCCACCTTTTTCCCACAAAATATACAGTCACTCCACTTTGAGATGTCTCGACGATGTAATAAGGAGCTATACCAAATGTGAGGATTATTCTTATATTGTAAGCAACTTGCGATTGTACATTTGTGTTTATATGGCACCTTTTTACGTCTGGAGGAAGTCCCAAAGTGCTTTGCACAAGGGAAGAGGGAGAGACATGGGAGGAAGGTCATTAGATAGCAATCATGAGCAGAAACCATGGCTGATTTCCCCTTTCCCTCCCCCTCTTCCCCCATCCCTGGGGCACTGAGGCCAGTTGCTGCCCCAACTGATACCTGGCTTAGAGGGGTGGGGGGGGGGGCAAAACTCAGCCCAGGTTGGGATTTGAACCTGTGGCTTCCCATTTGGCCTGGTGCTCAGTGCACCACAAGAGGATCGGTCTGAGCGTATCATTAGGCAGAAATGTTTGGGCTATTGCCAACAGGTAGCTCAGGATTCAAGGGTGGAATCTTAGGACGGAAAACATCGGCAGCACAAAAGGATGTCAGTTGAGCCGTCAAACCTGCACTGGCTCACAGAGCAAGGAGATCAATTCAGCCACACTACCCCACCTTATCCCCTTTCCCCTTCTGCCCTTCTCCTTCATATTCCTGCCTACTTCCCTCTTGAAAGGGAAGCTAACGTGGACCCTACTGTTCCATATCCCAGCAACTCTCTCGGTGAAAATATCCTTCCTTTCACTGTTCTTGTGGTTATCTTTGTGGAGTCCTGTAGCTCAGTGGTTAGAGCACTCGCTTTGCAAGTGAGAGACCTGAGTTCAATTCCAGGCAGAGGGCGAAACCTTGGGCAAGTTTCCTTACTCCACACAGAGCCTAATAATAATCCCTCCAAAACCAAAAACAATAATAAATTGGTCATTTTCAATCTACGACTGTTTGTGGGACATTGCTGTGCACAATTGGCTGCCGGGTTCGCCCAAATATACAGTCAATTCACTTTACAGTGTGTTCTGTGAAGCGCTTGGGACTCCCGACGTGAAAAGCGCTATATCAAATGCAAGGATTATTATTATTATTATTATTATTATCTTTATAACTAAGGCCCTTAGTCACTGACTCTCCTATCACAAATTGCTCTGAGCACAAATTTAACTCAGCTTAAAGCTATTGTGAGGTGTTTTAGGATCCCAATGCCTCTGTAGGGGAAAAAGTCAAAAGTCGAATTACTGAGGGTGTGTGTGTTTTCTTCAATGCTTCCTTTCATGGTAATAATAGCATGGTGGTAGCAATAATAGTACTAACGAAAATAGTATGTCAGAGGATCGAATTCAAGATCCTCATCCTCACCTACAAGGCCATTCACGGCCTCGCTCCCTCCGACCTCTCCCCCTACTTACCTGCCCGTACCCTCCGTTCCTCTGGCTCTGGTCTGCTCCACATCCCCCGCCCCAAACGCCCTACCATCGGTGGCCGGGCCTTCAGCCTCTCAGCCCCGAGGCTCTGGAACTCCATCCCCCAGTGCCTTCGCCGCCTCCTCCCTTTCCTCCTTCAAGGCCGGTCTCAAGACCTTTCTCTTTGACCGTGCCTTCAGCTCCCCTCTCGACTCTCTACCCCCTCCTCGCTCCCTCCCTTCCCTCCCCTCACCCTGACCATTTCGCCCCTGCTCGGGTCCTGACCCAACTGTACAGCGCCTTGGGACGTCCTCCCGACGTGAAAGGCGCTCTATAAATGGAATCTTGTTGTTGTAGTAGTTGCTGTGTTGCCCACAAGGAAGCTCACAGGCACCAGTTCCTGGTACCCGCCAACCACTTAGTGGGGGCTCAAACCCACTTATATCGAATGTCAAATGACCTACTAGTGACTATCCACCTGGAGGGGAGATAAGCGGTGTCTCCTTGGAGCTGAACTGGCTCCAAATGTTACGTGATTGGCAGCAGAAATTGAGCCAACCCTCTGCGGCAGTCTTGATCTTCCAGTTCCTGAACCAGGTGGGTCCGCAGTACTCCAGGGCACTGCTGGTGACAGCACACCATAGCCCATCGGCAGGACTTGGAAGGAAAGACCAGCACTGGTGGCAGGGAGTCTTCCTACTCAGCTCCCATTAACCCTGCAAGCCAAAGCCTTCACGGGGAGGGTGGTCCTAGCTGGACAAGCAGCAGGAAAGCTTGCCAAGCCGTGCTCTGGATGGCAAGCTATGTAGTTTTAACTGGTTTAGCTGACTCCAACAGTTACCCCACCGTATACTCCCCAACCCTTGGCTCTTGCCAACCTGTGCCTTTTACTTTCTGGAAGTAGATAAGCAGAATGCGTCCCTCCAGGGAGAGAGTGGCCATTCCATTCCAGTACACGTCTCTGGGATTTCCACGTGTTGGTCAGTGGGATGCATGAAATTCTCAGTTTGGTTTGGATACCCTTAAGCGTGGCGATGGGTTTCCGCACATGTCAGACACCCAGTTGACCAAATAAAAAAAATAATAATAATTAATTCTTGATGTCCTTCAGGAGATGCTGAGGAAGATTGTTACCCCCCTGGCTGTCAAGAATGAAGAAATCCAGAACTTTATTTACGTGTTGAAGCAAACGCTGCAGAACGTTGAGGTGTGTTTGATACTTACGCCCCTGGGTTTCCTCGAATTCAAGATCCTCATCCTCACCTCCATGGCCTCGCTCCCTCCTACCTCTCTGACCTACTATCCCCCTACCTACCTGCCCGTACCCTCCGTTCCTCTGGCTCCGGTCTGCTCCACATCCCCCGCCCCAAACGCCCTACCATCGGTGGTCGGGCCTTCAGCCTCTTAGCCCCGAGGCTCTGGAACTCCATCCCCAGTGCCTTCGCCGCTTCCTCCCTTTCCTCCTTCAAGGCCGGTCTCAAGACCTTTCTCTTTGACCGTGCCTTCAGCTCCCCTCTCGACTCTCTACCCCCTCCTCGCTCCCTCCCTTCCCTCCCCTCACCCTGACCATTTCCCCCCAATGCTCGGGTCCTGACCCAACTGTACAGCGCCTTGTGACGTCCTCCCGACGTGAAAGGCGCTCTATAAATGGAACCTTGTTGTTGTTGTTCGCCCACTAAATATGCAGTCAATTAATTTTGCAGTATATTCTGTGAAGTGCTTTGAGAAGTCTAGAAGCTCCAGGCCCACAAACTCCCCTGCAGTCGCGGGTCAAACACTTAAGCATTTAAACAGTTAGAGTGTGATGATTGCACCGTGCGATCTCGATGCATTACAGTTTACATTGATTTTTGCACAGATTTACAGCACCGAAACAGGCCGTTCGGCCAAACCAGTCCATTGCCAATGTTTATACTCCGTCTGATTCTCCCACCCACTCCTTATTCCCTCCCATACCCTTCTAGTCCCCTCTCCCATATGTGAATATCTAACTCCCTCTTAAATGCATCTACATTATCTGATTCATTCATGATTTGGTCACTCAATCAACCACTGTTTGTGGGACACTGCTGATGCAATTGGCTGCCGCGTTTCGCCCACAAAATATACAGTCAATTCACTTAACAGTATGTTCTGTGTAGCGCTTTGAGACATCTCGAAGACGTGATAAGGCGCTATATCAAATATTATTTTTATTATTATTATTTACCACTTTAGGCCGCATAAAAAATTGAGCCTCTCAAGCTACTTTGTTCCAACTGCGAAACCCTTCATTGCTAATAAATCTCCTCGGCACCTCTCCTCCGAGACAAGTCTCTGCAAATGCCTCTGTTGCGGGAGAAGAGTTTGCAGAAACCTGTCACAGAAAGAGTGGGTGCGGAGGAGAAGATCCTGGCTGAAGTTTCGCTCCCAAACACTTTCTTTATGTGTTTCAGGCGAATTCGGAGAAAGCTCTCAAGGACTTGGATTTGGAATACACTTCCCTGTACTTCATTCTAGACCAGCTGAAGGAGGACATGATCGCAAAGATCAAGCAGGAGCGAGCCAGTAAAACCTACGAGTTACAGGTAGCTGATTCTGGTCACAATAACCCTGCAAACCCAGCACCCTTGAGCAGATTGTGTTGAAGGAAACAGTGTTTTAATAGCACGCCAACATCTTGGATTGAGGACAGACACCGAGACGTTTCTCTTTATGAAGAGAAATCGGGCTTAGCAGAAACTGCTCGATGCTGTGATGGGTGGGTTGGTGCTGGGTTGGCTTGGGGTGGTGGTGGGTGGTTGAGGCGGGGGAGTTGTTTGCTCCCTCTGCTCAACAGGTTCCGGCCTGCTCCATGTCCGCCGCCTGGTCCACCCCACCATCAACAGTTGGGCCTTCAGCCTCTCTGTCCCCACCTTTGAAACTCCATCCCACAGTCCCTTCACTTCGTTCCTTCCCTTGTCTCCTTCAAGACCTCCCTCTTTACGCCTTTGGTTACCCTCCTACCCCCACCCTGCCTGCCCTTCACCCATCCTGATCCCGTCACCCAGTTCAATTCCAAATCCCTCACCTTGGACATCCTCCGATGTGTAAATGTAATTTGTTGTTGTTGTTGGGTGAGTGAGAGATGTCTGGTGACTGGGTGATGTCTAGTAACGTCTCTCTTTGGCCACATTAGAATCAGCTGTGTACCTGCAACAAGGCTTTGGAGAGTTCTGAGGAGCTGCTGGAATTTGCAGACCAGACTCTGGGCAAAGCGAACTGCGAAGGATTGGATCAGGTAGTCCGTCACCTGAGATCTTTCTTTATCTCTGTGAATTTAGTTATTTTTATTTTAAAAAAAGAGTGAACCTGGGGGAGTATTGTGGGTGTAGTGTGCCTGGGGTGGTTGGATGTCTGTCGGTAGGTCTGAATCAAAAGATTCTGGGTTCAAACCCCAGGTGGGGATTTTGAACATGTTGTAGTCTAGGGCTAAGCTGTCACTGCAATGCAGTGCTGGAAAATTGCTGCACTGTCACGAGGTTCTATCCTTTGGAGGAGCCTTCAAGTCAAGGTCCCGTCTGCCTGTTCAGGTGGATGTTAAAGATCCTATGACGCTCTCTCCCGGTGTCCTGGTCCCAAATGAAGTTGGTCACTCACTTCATGGCTGCTTGTGAGACGTTACTGTGAACAAATTGGGTGCCATGTTCCCTTACATTCACAGCATTTTACTATAAAATAATAAGAAACATTTTAAGTCATCCTCTTAATGTTTCTCCCACAAAATACACAGTCAATCCACTTTACACTATATCCTGTGAAGCACTTTGAGACATCTCAACAGCTTGACAAGGCGCTGTATCAATTAATAATAATAATACTTGCATTTGATCTAGCGCCCTATCACAGCTTTGACCAGAGAAGGGCTTCACAGAATATACTGTAAAGTGAAGTGACTGTATATTTGGGCGAAACACAAAGATTATTCTCATGTGAAAGGCGCCGTATCACATGTTATGTGCGCGTGGGAGGGAGAGAAAGGGGAGACGTAGTGTGTCGTGTGAGTGCCTCTTAGAAGAAGCTTGATTTTAATTGCATGTTTTGCTGATTTGCATGTTTGACTCTTTTCTGTCTCTCTCTCTCTCTCTCTCTCTCTCTGCCTGAAAGGCTGCCAAGCAGATTAAAGATAGGTATTGTAAATTCCTATTTTGTTTCCTTATATTCCTCATCACTCTAACCCGTGACTGCTTGTCATTCTCATCTGTTGTTCTAAATGCCTGTTTAACACTTGCTTGAAGCTGAACCCTTCAAGTCCTGTATCTTTTTCACGTCTTTTTCTGTTCGATCTAAATTGCTGTTGGAGCTTGATTTCCGACGCTGGTTACACTTTTTTATTTTTAAAAAGTCGTCGTTCCTGATGCATCATTTTCTCAGGAATTAAAATCCACAGTTTCTTTATGCCTCCGGTGATCATTTAATAAGTGCTCGTGAGTGTTCGAACGAACACTTGCACAACTCAGTGTTAGTGTCTGTCCACACTCCCAGGTCATCTACAGCAAAGGTTAGTTAGCGATCAAGAAGAGTACACTCCGCTGCAGCTCTTCCGTTTCCCTTACTCGCTGTCATATCTCGACTCCCGCCCCCACCCCCCCCACCCCCGGGTGATTATAATGTAGGTAATTTAATGTAGGTGGGGGGGTGACTTCAGAAAGGGTTAAGGTTCTTGGAGTGACTTTCTCACTGGGGTCTTTTGGTTCCATTGGAGTGATCTGGACTGAATTTTTTTTTTAAAAAAGTGCCTTAATTGACCATTGATAAACCCACATGTCTTGTTCCGTTTTAACTTTTTTTTTCAATCCGCTTTGAAGAGCGAGAGTTTGCTTGTATAATCTGCGCGAGGTTTCCTACGAGAGTCTGGAATGCAGCCACTCCCATGAGTACATGTGGCCATCGAGGCTGTGCGTTCATTTCAGGCACTAGTATGTGACAACCTGGGACTAACCCATCCGTCTCCTCCTCTACCCCAACCCACGCTCTGGGCTCCCCCCAAGCCTTGGCTCTTACCAACCTGCGCCTAATACCTTCCGGAATTGGGTAAGCAAGATACGTCCCTCCAGGGAGGGAGGGAGAGAGAGACAGAGAGACATTCCATTCAAACAACCTATCTCTGAGATTTCCATGTGTAGGTGGGATGCATGGAATTCTCAGCTTGGTTTGGAGACTCTTAAGCAACGGTGATGGGTTTCCGCGAGTGCCAGACACCCGATTGACCACCCCCCGCGCCCCCAAACGCCCCCCCAAAAATGTAAGGCAGACCAGGAAAGCACACTGAGCACTTTGAATAGCTAGGCCTTGTTTTTAACCCTCTGTCTAAATAAATCGAGAGAATGTTGGAAGTGTTTCGCACCTGAATAAAACGCGTTGGTGTCGTCTTGTCTCACTCCTGTCTAGGAGTTCACCAGAGGTTGATAGAAGTGCCTTTCCTGACGGGGGTGGTGGGAAGCAGTGATCAAGTGTTTGGCAGATTTGAGCTTCGTTGCTAACTGAAAGGAAGGGAAGGTTGAGTTGACAATAAAAGTGTTTTGAGCGACTGTTTATTATAATTTTTCTCCGCAGCGTTACCATGGCACCAGCGTTCCGGCTGTCTTTGAAGGCCAAAGCCAGTGACAACATGAGCCACCTAATGGTCGACTTCTCACAGGAGAGGAAGATTCTACACTCCCTGAAGTTTTTGCCGGGTGAGAACGTAAACTAAACTAAAAACGGCTTTCCGCCTTTGCTTCCTGTGAATTTTCTCCTGAACCGTCGTCCCTTTCGCTGTTTTGTTCTCCTGTTTTGTGATGGCAACTGCCTTGCTTTAGCTGGTTAAACTACGGTGGTACCCCAATACACACTCTAGGCTCCCCCCAGGTCCTGGGATTGTTAAGCAAAGTATATTCCTCTGAGGAGTGTGTGCACTCCACACTGGACAATAGAGACCAGACATGTATAGAACTCCTTGGTAGCCACCACCAACTGCACCTCCTTAGCACAAAGCAGTGACTCACCGTGACTTGAATAGACAATGGACAAGTGCAAAGTTAGTGTAACTTTCTTGTCTTGCCGGTGTGACAGCCTTCACAGCTGAGCAAAATGATCTCAACGTGAGGGTCTAACTCATCTTAAAATCACACCGTGAGACCATCTTCTTTGGCCGTGCCTACGGTCACCTCCTTCCCTTCTCCCTTGCTCAGAGAATTGCACTGCGTTGGTGAAGGCGCTGTATAAATGCAAGTCCTGCCCATCGATTTCTTTCCCCCCCCCCCCCACCTCCAACACCATCAAATAAAATATAATTGTTTGCTGACTTCATGGCTGTTTGTGGGGGATTGCTGTGTACAAACTGGCTCCCAACAAAAACAAATATCCTGTGAAGTGCCTTGAGACATCTCAATGTGATTTTTTTTTGGTCAGCCGGGTGTCTGAGGCACACGGAAACCCATCACCGTGCTTATAAGAATCCAAATCAAGCTGGAAATTCCATGCATCCCACCTACAGAAATCCCTCAGATAGGTTGTTGGAATGGAATGAGCGCTCACTCCCTGGAGGGACACTCCTGCTTATCCTAATTCTGGAATGTATTAGTCGTAGGTTGACAAGAGCCCAGGCTTGGTGGGGATCCCAGAGTGTGCGTTGGGGTAACTGCTGGATTCTAACCAGCTACATAACTGATGTGGTTCAGTATCCCACAGAATTATTATTATTAATATTATTATTACAGGTTGACCGAAAAGTCATGATGTCATTTACAATGTCCAATAAATCTTAAAGAAATGATGATTTTTTTTTAGATAATAGGGTAACTGAAAAATAAGACTTTTTGGTCACCCTGTATTTATTTAGTATTATTATTAAGTTCTTGTTTGTTGTGTTCAGTGCCCGACATGCCTGAGATCGACGTTTCCGAGTGTGTGGTCGCTGATAACTGTGTGACTGTGGTTTGGCGAATGCCTGAGGAGGACAATAAGATCGATCACTATGTGCTAGAACATCGCAAGACCAACCATGAGGGAGCACCCAGATTGAAGGAGGACAATCCCTGGATGGTGATGGAGGGGATCAAAGAGAAGGAATTTACTCTGTCAGGTAATCAATCACTCCCCTTCCCTCCTAATATACACTTGCACATCTTTCTTTCCCTCTGTCTTCCCCCATCTCCCCTCACACACACCCCCTCTCCTCCAAACCCAGCCCCACCACCATCTTGGCCACTCACTCCCCTCCTTGGTGCAGTCGTTTATATCAAAAAAAATTTAAATACAGACAATTAAGGGGCAAAAGGCTTTCGTGGAAAATTACTTCCTGATTCCTGAGGGTCGAGTGTGATCCAGGACAGATCCCGAGCCATCGACAGCATCAGAGTATACAGCAAACAAGTCTGATCCTTATCAATCGTTTAATCGCCTGAGTCATTCATCTGTCCAAGGCCGATTGAATTTCATGTAACTGGTGCAAGTTTCACATAACTCGTACTTTGCATAAGTCGTCTTAAGGGTTCGGGCCCAACTGATACGACTTGTGTGAGGTTTACTGTATTGTTCACGTATCCTGTTGTACTGGAATCCAGGTGCCCTGGCCAACAGTCCAAATACCATTGGATACACTTCTTGTGAGGATGTGTTGTGTGGCTCGGCTGCTGTATTTGCCCCCAAAATATACAATAGCTACACCTTTACACAAATCTTGGAGGGTTTTGAGACAGTTGGATGCAAAAGGGCACTCTGTTAAAGGTTATTATTATTACGATTGTGTTTCAATTGGACTAATTTACATCGTGTGTTTTGCATGTTTTGCATCTTGTGACTACTTTTGTTGGTTTCCGTTAACTGGCACAAGGGATTCTGTCGGGTGTGGAAGTTTTCAAACTCAGTCTATTTCTGTTGGGAAATAATATCTGGGGATATAATCTATAATTTGGGACACAACATGTCACGCAACTGTCAAGATGATGGAAGGTGAATTGGATGGACCTTGCTCTTCGTTCGTCTAGTGAATTATTTTATTGTGTTTCTCCACCACTGCCGTTGTCCAGCGCTCTGAGATGCTCCCCTGTATGGGGGGGTGGGGGGGGCGGTATAATAAATGCAAGTTGTTGTTTGTTTTCTACCAGCGATGAAATTTGATACAAAATACATCAACGTTCGTGTGAGGGCTTGTAACAAGGCTGTGGCTGGAGAATTCTCTGAACCCATCATATTGGAGACCACAGGTTTGTAGATTGATCTGAACTCTTAATTTAATAACTTCAACTTATTATTATTAATTATCTTTCTTTTTTTAACTTCCAAAACAACATCTGGGTCAAAAAGATGTTATCCCGACATGAAAGGTGTTGTATCAAATACTGCTGTTTTTATTGTTACTATTATTATTGTGTTATTATAGTTTAAATCACTTTGCAGAGGCAGTTTCTAAGTGGTTTTCAGTGATGGTTAACCAGACCAATAACACTGCCACGTTCCATATGAATGAAGGTTACGTTTCTTAGTATATTTGAACTTCCTTAAGAGATTGATATTTTGTTCCATCAGGTATCTTGTCAAGCCATTTCTGAATAGTCTTATCAACAGTCCCAGTTGTACCGATGATTATAGGATCTATGTTTGTTTTAATCCTTCCGCATACATCCGCATTCAATTTGACATCACTAAACTCCTGATCACTAATGTTTACAGTGAGGACAACATTGCCAGCCCTATTAGCAAATCCATACAGGTAGTTTTTCTAAGTAGGGCTTGGAGCTTCCCCATTGCCATGGCATCTACGAGACATCATTGACTGAACCTATATGGTTGTCCCTGCCCGCACCCTTTGGACCTCCATTCCACGTCCCCTTCGCCTCCCTCGCTCTGTTGCCTCCTTCAAGGCACATCTCAAAATCCTCCTCTTCGACTGCGCCCCCAGCTCAGATCCTAATCCCTGACTGTTCATCGCCTTAGGACATCCTCCCGACGTGAAAGGCGCTGCTGTGCAATTGTAATGTTGTATTGTGTTACCGCTGGATATTTCCTGTTTGTTTTTTTTTGCAGCGTTTAGTTTCAATTTGGACGCTGTGACAGCCCACCAGAACCTGAAGGTGGAGGAGCACAGTGTGGAGTGGGATGCATCGGGGGGCAAAGTCCAAGAGATCAAGGCCCGAGGCAAGGAGAACCGCAGCAGAACGGCTTCTCCGGCCAATTCCCCTGCACGGTAGGAATCTGGTTACTCGAGAGGGATGCACCAACTTGACAGAGGTGTCGGCCTGGCTCAGTCAGTAGTGCTCTCGCTTCATTCAGGGTCAGGATATAAACAGGAGGAGGCCATTCAGCCCCTCGAGCCTGTTCCGCCATTCTATAAGATCATGGCTGATCTGTACCTTAAGTCCAATTACCCGCCATTGCCCCGTATCCTTTAATACCCTGACCTAACCCATATCTAGCCACCTCAGTCTTGAGGGTGTGAATGGATTCAGCATCCACAGCCTTTTGGGGGGAGAGAGTTCCAGATTTCCACTACCCTTTGGGTGAAAAACTGCCTCCCGATTTCACTCCGAAATGGCCAAGCTCTAATCTTAAAATGATGCCCCTTTGTTCTGGATTCCCCCACCCACCAGATGAAATAGTTTCTCTGTATCTACCCTATCGAATCCCGTTATTATTTTAAACCTCGGAGCACTTGATAGTGGCAGAGCCTGACACCGAACCAGGTTGGAGAGGAGAAGAGTGACGATAAGCACGTTGGACGAGGAATGACTTCATGACATTAAGTGTGTCCCACCTGTGGCCCTTTGTCTCTGGTTTTGATGCTTTCCCCATTGTTGCTTTAAGGAGCGTCATTCAATCGCCAAAGAGATTACCGTCCGGACGACAGAGCCGTGACCGCTTCACTGCGGAGTCGTACACCGTGTTGGGTAAGCGGGAGCGTGGCTGAGTACAGGAAATCTCACTAGTCATACCAGTCGGGACCGTAACATTCATTACGATTTACACGGAGTCTCAGTCGCAGGCAAACTTGTATAAAACCTGATTTAATCAACCGACACTGCACGTGCGTAATTCACTGCAGTCGTTATGTTGCGCGTGCGGTGATGGGACAGTACTTGTACACTACAATAACTTGCGTTGATATAGTGCATTCACATGGGGTATTGTCCCAGATCACCTAATTTCCGCACCGCAGACACACAAAAAGCCATTGAGTGAGTGAACAATCTTATTTGGGGGAATTGTCAGCCAGTTAATTCACTTTTTACAGTATATTCTGCGAATCCCTTTGAGATGCCTCAACAGTGTGATAAGGTGCTACATCAAATCCAAAGCTTATTATTAAATGGTCAAATGTTAGAGTTGGGTGACTATAGGTCCTTTGGTTCTCTTTTACAGGGGACACTTTGATTGACAGTGGCCAGCATTACTGGGAGGTCACGTTTGAGAAGGAGAGCAAGGGTTTCCTGGTAGGAGTGGCCTACAGGAGCTTGGGCAAGTTTGACCAGTTGGGGAAGACCAACTCCTCCTGGTGTCTGCACCTTAATAACTGGCTACAGCTCAGCTTCACAGCAAAGCACAACAACAAGGCAAAGGTTCTGGACATTATTGTGCCCGAGAGGATTGGAGTCTACTGTAATTATGATGAAGGTACTAGGATCCTTGCATCCGCTCTGTTACTTTATCGTGGCCGGGGGGAGAGGAAGGAAAAAGGTTGAGTGGTGGAGATAATGATGGATGAATATTCAGAAGTTTTTGGCTTAATTATATAATAAAAAACAAAGTGGCCGGGAACACTCAGCAGGTCAGGCAGCATCTATGGAGAGAGGAAAGTGGGTTAACGTTTCAGGTCAATGACCTTTCCCTTTTTGGCTTAATTATGTTTGGAGATCGAGGCTTGACGTTGTTTGTGCGTGATCTATTTCTGAAATAGATTTGCTAACTTATCACTGGTGTTTCAGGTCACCTGGTGTTCTACAATGCTCGAACTAAACAGCTTATTCATTCGTTCAAGGCAAAATTCACACAGCCCGTGCTTCCTGCTTTCATGGTGAGTTGACTTTCAGTGTCCAATTTCACCACAATAAGACATTGTTCCTAATATTTGCCCAACTGGTGGGAAAGTAACAATAATGTCTATTATACATTGTATGTATGTAGTGATGTGGCATGTGGGACTACAGCTGATGCTCCATTGCAATGCTAGAGGAATGCAGCAATGTCAGAGATGCTATCCTTTGGATGAGATGTTAAACTAAGGTCCCGTCTGCGCATGTTCAGGTGGACATTAAAGATCTTGTGCTGTTACAAAATAGGGAGTTTCTCTCATGTCTGGCCACAATCCACTTGATAGAATTGGTCATTCACTTCATGGCTGTTTTGTGGGCCACTGGTGTGTGTCGAGTGGCTGCCATATTTTCACGCAAAATGTGGTTTATACATTTTACACTTCGAAACGCTTTAAGATGTGTCTTCGGACGTGCAAGCTAAGTCTGGAAAAGTGCTGAAATGAAATGGCTACTGATGTACCCCAGTTTGCACTTGTGCATTGTATTTCATGTAGGATAGAATGTCCTGAAGCGCTTTACAGAGAAACTGGCAATCCCAAGCTAGGTACTGGAGAGAATCCGAGGAGCCTGTACCTAGTTGAGGAAGCTTTGACGATTGATGAAGATAATGATGATGATTGATCTTTTTAGAGCTGATAATATATATTTCTCTCTCTCTCTCTCTCTCTGGTTAGGTCTGGTGTGGAAGCTTCGTGGTTCACACTGGACTCCAAGTGCCGAGTGTCGTCAAATCCCTGCAGAAACGTAACAGTGGGACCAGCAGTTCCAATGCCAGCCTGACCTAACATTGCTCAACCCTGAGCCCCAACACCCAACCGCGCCAGACTGGGCTTGACACCAGCAAAGCCACTTGTTCCGGTCCTGGAGTAGGGAGAATGTCGGGGAAACCAGGACTGCGTTCACCATTGGGGTGCGGGAAGTTGGATTCGATGGAAAACTTTCTTTTCTTCTTTAAAACCAAATGTGTTGCTATCGCAAAAGTCTCTACAGATTTTGAAGCCTTCGAAACGGAGAATGTAGGACCCAGCTTCCGTTTCTAGTCCGCGTCTTGGTTTCTGCACCGGAATGTTTAATGTCCGTAATGGATTTGGGAATGTATTTGGGATTTTTTTTATATAGGAAAAGAGAAACTCACACAATGTACTGTACAAGAATTGGCCATTTCTGTAAATTGTTCTGGGCAACCAATCCAACCGGGTTCGTCAGTCCATTTTCGGAGACTTAAGAAGGAATACATGTGACCTCGTTCAGGGCCTTGTCTTTTTTTCCTCCTCCAGGGGTAGTTGAGGCATCTCTTATGAGTGTGGGAGTGGGGGAGCAGCCCATTTAACAACAGTCTCTTGAGCAGTTATCTTCAACTCCATGTTTGGCAAAAGCTCCAATTCAACTGTGAGAATGTCTATTCTTATCTCTTCTCAGTCAGGTTAGGAAGAAACCTCTTCATTTCCTACTCCTCCCCCCCCCCCCCACCCCACCACCATCTTGTTATCTTGTTTTAGAAAGTCTTTACCACCATCTTGTTATCTTGTTTTATAAAGTCTTTGCTCTGGTGAAAGCACCTTATTATTATTGGGTCTAAGAAAACCCGCCTTAGTTATCAAGCGCAGGAGGACATTTTTATGGGTTGCACCAACCAAGATTATGTTGGGTCTCAGTGCTCTTCCAAACCTATTGTCCCTCCTCTTTCTTCTTCCTTCTTTCCTCTGCCCCCCACCAACCACCTCATATGGAGTCAACTCAAACATTGAGGATAAATACTGATCCCTCGTTGACTCCTGATGTTACTTAAGATTGTAGTGGGAGGTAAAATCAGCTAGAAAAACAATCCCAACATTTCAGTCTTTCCAAAAGACTCGTTTCCTGACCAAAACACCATGGGTCCCAAGAGGACATCTAGTTTTTGAAGAACTTGCCACTTTCCCATAGACTAGGATTATTTCTTTGGTCGAATTAAGATACTGGTTCTGGGGGAGAGCGACTGGTTGGAGTAACTATTGACAGGGATTGATTGCTGTTTTGGGGATGGATGAACGTACCAATTCTGCCGTCTAACATTTTCCTGGCCCATTTGTACCCTGGTGGATTAAACTGCTTGCTGCTTGGTAACCATGGTGAATTTTTAAGCGATTTAGATCTTTTGTTGCGGTTCCGGTACTTCAGGTGATCACTGGGTTGGGTGTCTGTCCGGATGACTGTAGTTTGTGCTGAATCGGAGACTCTTGAGTAAAGTTCCTGCTTGGACGAATGTATTTGTTTTTCTGGCTGTTTCTGCTGTTACGCAGCAGGTCAGGACCTTGTGCTGCATTGGATTGTGTCACCAGGCAATTACCTGAGCCTAGGACACTACCTGCTGTTGATAAAATAGCCCAGAGGGGTCATTTCACCAGAAGCCACATTATCTGGGGGGGGGAGGGGGGTGGGGAGGAGCCGGTGTTTGGTCCCATTATCTCTGGGAGAGAGGCATTGTCCCAGAAGGGGGTGGGAGGTGGGGAAATGCCATTGCATTTGTAGGAAATTGTAGGCAACTTCCGACTAACTCATTGAAACCGGGTGGAAATTTCATTCAGAGTTCCGCATAGCGCCTTACATCTGGTGCAATGGCGTGTCCTGTTATTGGCCGTGGCCAGAGGAGATGTCAAGTGAAGCGGAATGGAATTTCTGCCCATGTGTCGTCGCAAGTGGTGCAGAGCCAATCCCTCCCTCCCTCCCTCTGACGCTGAAGGAAGATGTTAATCGGGAAGGACCGAGGGGTTACAGAGGTAGTGAGATTTTTATAACACTGACTTTAGCGGCTTTTATTAAAAAAAATAAGAAGCAACTTGTAATTCTACTGAACTAATACTTGCTGGTGTCTTTTAGAGCGAAACGGAGGCTGGGTGGGAACGTTTGGTACCTGGTCATTTATATTATATTGTTGTAAAAAAAATAATTTCCTTCTGGGTTTATGGCGTAATTATTAATACGTTGGCTGCAATGTCCAATTTGTGGAATGTATATGGGGAATCAGTGACTCACTGTTTAACATTTACTGTTGTATTAAAATGACTCACACAAAGCTGCTTGTGTCCTGGTCAGTGGCACTCCTGGGTTGGGATGAGGTGAAGGTTGTGCAATGGCAGAATCAGGAGAACTAGCAGTTTTGCGCAATTTCAGCTCCCTTTTCTCATCCCACTCTATCCCCCCCCCCCTCCACACACACACACACACTCATCCTTCTCTCTCATAGAACTATAGAATTATATAGCACAGAAGGAGGCCATTCGGCCCATCGTATCTGTGCCTGCTCTTTGAAAAGAGCTTCCAAATCAATCCACCTCCCCCGCGCTCTCTCCCAAACCCTGCAAACTCGTCCTCCCCAAATAATTCTCTCTCATCCTTTCTTTGTGCGACGTAACAGTGTCTTGGGTGTAAGGTCTTGTCGGCAGAGTAACCTGCTGGTGTAATGGAATGGTCAGAACAGTGCTCATGTCACATTGATCACTTAACAAAACACTTTGCATTTACAAAAGCAGCCATTAATTAAAGTGCTGAATGTTTTATTATCATCTCTTCTTCCAATTACTAGATGTCCAAATATACGAGCACATTGAGACAAGGTAAGTAGGGTGCAAGGAGCTAGAATATAACTGGAGCAGGCAGGAGGGAGGCTGTGAAATTATTATTTACTAAATGACATTGTCGCTGCATGTTTAAGTTCCCTGAGAATTAGTCACTTTGGGCTCTCCACTGTGCAAATTAGGCTCTTTAAATACAGGGGTGTGAGCCTTCTTTATTTAAGGATTGTTCATTTCAGTTGCTTACTACAAACTGGATGTGTGTGTCGTTGAGTGTTTTTTGAGCCACTTTTGTTGGAAAGAATTCCTCCACTCACTGATTTTTTAAATTTATATATATATATACACACAGACACACACAAGACTGGTGGTGTGTGTGTGTGTGTGTGTGTGTGGAGGTCACAGTAATGGCATCAGTGCATCAATTGAGTACAAGGTGATCTGAGTCGGGTCTTAAGTTTTACCTCTTCAAAGATAAACCAAACCACGCTACCACTTTCTCACAGTTAAAGTTATCTGTTGTGGGTATCTGGCATGGTTTAGCTTCAGTGTTGACGCATCGATGTAGGCTGCGAGCTGCTTATCTCAGCCCAACAAGTTGCAGTTTTACAGCATCCTTCATGTAATTCAAGATCCTCATCCTCACCTACAAGGCCATTCACAGCCTCGCTCCCTCCTACCTCTCCGACCTATTATCCCCCTACCTACCTGCCCGTACCCTCTGTTCCTCTGGCTCCGGTCTGCTCCACATCCCCCCTCCCAACCGCCCTACCATCGGTGGCCGGGCCTTCAGCCTCTCAGCCCCGAGGCTCTGGAACTCTATCCCCCAATGCCTTCGCCGCCTCCTCCCTTTCCTCCTTCAAGGCCGGTCTCAAGACCTTTCTCTTTGACCGAGCCTTCAGCTCCCCTCTCGACTCTCTACCCCCTCCTCGCTCACTCCCTTCCCTCCCCTCACCCTGACCATTTCCCCCCAATGCTCGGGTCCTGACCCAACTGTACAGCGCCTTGGGACGTCCTCCCGACGTGAAAGGAGCTCTATAAATGGAATCTTGTTGTTGTTGTTGTTGTTGTAATGTCAGAGTGTCACACAGCCATTTGAAGGGTATGTTTTAGGCGCGTTTGACTGTATGGAGAGAGAATAACAATCCTGTATTTGATATTGAGTTATCACATCATCGAGACATCTCAAAGCACTTCACAGAATATTCTGCAAAGTGAATTGACTGTATATTCTGTGGATGAAACGCAGCAGCCAATTGCGCACAGCAGCGTCCCACAAACAGTCGTAGATTGAGTGGTCACATTTTTTTTGGAGAGATTATTACCCCCGGGAAAGCGATCCGCTTATCGACTAACCATCAGGTTCCGACTTACTGCTGGGTGAACAGAGGCGTGTGGGGTAAGGAAACTTGCCCAAGGTTTTGCCCTGCTAGGAATCGAACTCAGATCCTCTCACTTGAGCGCTCTAACCACTGAGCTACAGGATGCAACAATGAGACGAAGGCCATGGCGGCGGGGGGTGAGAGAAGTAACACAGGACCCTGATCTGTTGAGATGTGAACTCACGTTCATTAGTGAACCCACGGGCTCTTTCTGGTGAGACATTTTTTAAATGAAAGGTGCAAATGACACCACCAACTTCACAAGGGGTAATATCTTAGCGGCTCACAGGATTGAACACGGATTGACTGGGGACGAAGAAGGTGGCAACGGGGTTGTTTCAAGGATTTGGATTTAATAATACTGTAAAGTGAATTGACTGCATATTTTGGGGGTGAAATGTGGCAGCCAATTGCACACAGCAGTGTTCCACAAACAGCCGTGGATTGAGTGACCAAATTATTCTTATTTTTTTGAAGAAATTATTTCCCCCGGAAAAGCGATCCACCAATCGACCAACAACCGGGTTCCTAAGGAAATTTGCCCACCGTTTTGCCCTGCGGAGGGAACACAGCTGTATCTATAAAACAGTTAAGTTTTTTTTTAAAAAAAAGCTTTTTATTTTCATTTTATGAACACAAAAGAAATAAAAATATGCATTTCTGTGACCCAGCTCACAAACGTCATTACTGTCAACCGTAATGACTTCCTATAAAAAAGTGTTTTTTTAGCATCGCCTACAATTTTCAAATATACAGCAAATATTTATATATATTTATGTATATTCATTCTATCCGGTGGTCACAGGGAGCTTCCGGTTAGCGGAAGATTCTAAATCAATTCTGGTCAATTTCAGGTACATTTCATTGCAAGATCAGCACCGTTGGGATAACCAAATGCTTTAGGTGGAAGTTGTTAGTGCTTCAAACACACACAATGATTGCCAGTAGTCACATTGTAAAGTCAACGCACGTAGTGATTCATTTTCAATCAAATCCTTGAGTCAGCCACTAAAAGTAACGCTCTCTTTCCCCTCTTTCAACACCCCACCCCCACTGCCCGCCACCCACCCTCCCCCAAAGCAACCATAATGAAAATTAAACCATTTCATGCCATATTTTCTTTGCTTTAAAATCAACTTATTCTAAATTTATTTCTATTTACAGCAAGATGTGGGGGTTTCGTTTGCTTGTTAAAATTAATCTCTGTGCAACCTTGCCCGTACCCTCCCACTATTCAGTTGTGCAGGAAGTACAATGGCTGTCAAAAGTCCATTCAATTATCAGTCATTAAGTCCCTGGTGACTGGAGGATTTGGTGACAGAAACCGATGCCTAATTTGGACACTGGGCGCTCAAAAAAGTGCTCAACCTGTCCCATCTCTTCACTTCTCTTTAGTCTCTTCATGGATTCAACTTGGCCTTGGATTCGGAGGCTTCGATATACTTTCGTCTTTTCATCAGCTTTTCGTGGAGCTCCTGACTAGCATCTGCTGAAGTAATGAGAACAGGGTTTAACAATGATTTGATATAGCGCCTTATCACGTTGTTGTCTAACTGCCGAGTTTCGCCCACAAAATAATAATAATAATAATAATCCTTGCATTTGATATAGCACTTTTCACGTTGGGAGGACGTCCCAAAGCGCTTCACAGAATATACTGTAAAGTGAATTGACTGTATATTTGTGGGCGAACGCGGCAGCCAATTGCGCACAGCAATGTCCCACAAACAGTCGTAGATTGAAAATGACCAATTTATTATTGTTTTTGGTTTTGGAGGGATTATTATTAGGCTCTGTGTGGAGTAAGGAAACTTGCCCAAGGTTTCGCCCTCTGCCTGGAATTGAACTCAGGTCTCTCACTTGCAAAGCGAGTGCTCTAACCACTGAGCTACAGGACTCCACATATACAGTCAATTCACTTTATATCACTTTATAGCATATCCAGGCACCTTAGGACGTCCTCTCAATGCGAAAGTCGCTGTCTAAATGTACTTTTGTATTCTATCAATATAGAATTACTTTAAATCCATTTAAAAGTAATTAGGTCTTAGAACTTGTTAGAGTTAACACATTTTTCAAATATACTTTAAATATCTGATATTACTAGCATATTATGTTGATAATACAGTAAAACTCGCATAAGTTTTACCTTTATAAATCGTATGATCGCCTAAATCATACAGGTACCCAGGGCCCATTCCATTTCCTATCAAAAAACACTTAGATTTCTTTGCACTACACATATTTTATAAAGTAAATCATCTCCTAACCCTTCCACCGTACTTACCAATTGCATTGAAGTCCCCATGCGGGGTGTACATTATTGATTAATAATAATCCTTGCATTTGATATCACGCCTGATCACATCGTCGAGATGTCTCAAAGTGCTTCACAGAATATACTGTAAAGTGAATTGACTGTATATTTTGTGGGTGAAACGCAGCAGCCAATTGCGCACAGCAACGTCCCACAAACAGCCGTGGATTGAAGTGACCAAATTAAATTGGATATGGTACGACTTGTGCACGTTTGCTTGTAACTCGCACTTCACGTAAATCATATGAATTTGTTATGGTCCCGACTGATATAACTTGCATGAGTTTTACTGTATAACATCTTACCTGTGGATAAACCAAAAATGTCTTTTGAGACTTTTGGAGGTATAGGGGGAATCGACCTTTCTGGGTAATCTGAAACAGAAGGACAGCCAGAGATAAAATTTAGACCTTCCATTATAATATTACTACTTACATTTGATATAGCACCTTATCACGTCTTCGAGACGTCTCAAAGCGCTTCGCAGAATATATTGTAAAGTGTAGTGATTGTATACTTTGTGGGTGAAACTCGGCAGTCAACTGCACACAATGGTGTCCCACAACATTTATAAAAAAAATTTTTAAAGGAATTATTGCCCCCGGAAAATCGATCCACCAATCCACTAAAAGCCGAGTTCCTACAAGGAAAACTGCTCGGTAAACAGAGGAGTGTGGAGTAAGCCAATTTGCCTAAGGTGTTGCCCCACCCTCTAGATTGCGAGTGCTCTAATTACTAAACTACGGGACTCCATGGCATTACGGCAGAGAATATCTTGTAATGAGATGTGCGTTATTGTAACACTTATTGTAAGTGTCGCTCAGTAACTCATGGAACAGCGCTAGATTGCAGCTCTGACACAACCCAGATCCACACACGTATGAAACCCAGACACACGATCCCAGGTGGGGTCAGTGACGCTGAGAGATGAGCTGCGGGTTCTGACTCTCAGTAAAGTCCCAGTAAAGCCAGATACCAGGGATGAGAGACTTTAGTTGCGTGTCGAGACTAGAGAAGCTGGGATTGTTCTCCTTAGATCAGAGAAGGATAAGGCGAGATTTAATAGAGGTGCTCAAAATTATGAGGGGTTTTGATAGAGTAGACAAGGTTCCACTGCTTCCACTGGCTGGTGGGTCGGTACAACAACAACAACAAAATTACATTTATAGAGCGCCTTTCAATCGGGAGGACAGTCCCAGCTCTTTGGAAGAGCTACCTAATCAGTTCCAATCAGTGGAACTGATTAGGTAGCTCTTCCAAAGAGCTGGCACAGGCACGATGGACCAAATGACCTCCTTCTGTGCTGTAATATGATTCTGCAATAAAGCTTTCACGAGAGAGAGAGGGGGAGGGGGGGGAAATCAGTCTGCCAGGCTCCGTAGTGAAAGGCGCTGTGTAAGTAAACATTTTCTTTTTATTGAGAAATCAAAGGGGAGTTTTTCTGCTCAGCATAAAATGCCTCGGGTCATGTGGTTGTTTGTGCAACCGTGTCGAACAGTCCACTCTGCTGACTCTAATAAAAGGTAAGTCCGTGTGACTTTACACTGGTCCCCATGGGAATTAATGAGCTTCTCCTCTCAGGAAGGAATCCGGACTTTGGTTAAATAGCAATAAAGATACACTCCAAGGCCTGAACCTGGTAATGATTCACCAGCTGTGGACTGACAGGACTGTGTGCAGTTCTCCTCAAACAGTACACAGATCCACTACCAAATCCAGGAAACCTCACTGCACATCAAACAGGAGGAGGGCAAAGAACAGCAGTGCTCAGTGTAGTGCTGGTTGTAAACTCTCTGAGATTCTAGCCTGTGTGAAGGGTGTTATCTAAATGCAAGTTGTTGTTGTGCAGAAGGTGCTGAAGAGGGCCCAGGAGTAGAAACCCAGCTGACTTCCTCCTCCTGGACCGTGGGGGCTAATTTAGCCTCCGCAACACAGCTTTAACTGAGATCTGCAAACTCCCGGTCTGCCCACTTCCCCAGTCAGAATCTAAGATCGTTCCCAGTATATTTGGCTGAGAAAAATCTTACCGTCAGGACGATCGGGGGGTGCAGGACTCGGTTTACTTGGACGAAGTGCTTTCTTTCCTGTGGAGAAAGGCGTTTTCCCAAAGTTGATGAGTATCCGAGCTGTGGGTTGTAGAGGGAATGCAACAACAGCAACAACCTACATTTGCATGGCGTCTTTCAAGTCGGAAGGACGTCCCATGGTGGTGCACAGTTAAAGATTTGGACCCAAGCTGGGGGTTGGGATCAGGAGAGCTGCACGGCAAGGGAGGGTGGGGTAGGAGGGCGCCAAGGAGGACCTTGAAGGAGTCACGGGAGAGGATGAGGCAAAGGGATTTACGGGATGCACCACAAACAATAAGTATAGAGTTTACTTTGCCTCCTCATCTCCCCATTGTGGTGAAACCAAGGCTCATTGCACAATCTCCTCCTCCGCCAATGCACTCTCACCTCGGAGTCCGAAGGTTCTGGGTTCAAGTCCCACATTAGGACTTGAGATCATTCCAGTGCAGTGCGAGGGGGAGCACTGCATTGTTGGAGGTGCTGCCCTTCACATGTGCCCGTTACACTGAGGTCTCAGGTTCAGGTGAACGTCAAAGATCCCATGGTAATGCCATGACAAGACAAGAGAGTGCTGCCTGAACGTCCGAGCTGCAGGTGGGAGCTGATGGGGATGGGGAAGGGAAAGATGACCGAAAGAGCGGTCACAGAGATGGACCTCGAACTTTGAAAAGTCGCAAACTAAATGCATTCAGGCTTCCAAAACGTTAAAATGGGCATCAGCTAATCCCTACTTGACGCGTTTCCTCCTCACCCTCTTCCTTGGGGTTATTCCAGTTCTGTAGGCTTCGACTCTTCACCCGAGTTTCTCAACAGAATGAAGAATTAAATAGAAATAGGAGGAGGCCATTCAGCCCCTCGAGCTTGTTCGGCCTTTCTACAAGATCATGGCTGATCTGGACCTCAAGTCCAAATACCTGCTCTTGTTCTGTATCCTTTAATACCCTGACCTAACAAATGTCTATCCACCTCAGTCTTGACAATGTGAATGGATCCAGCATCCACAGCCTGTTTGGGGAGAGATTTCCAGATTTCCACTGCCCTTTAGGTGAAAAACTACCCCCTGATTTCCATCCTGAATAGCCTGGCTCTAATTTAATGATGATGCCCCTCCTGGTTCTGGATTCCCCCATCGGAGGAAATAGTTTCTCTGTAGCAAAACAACCCCTCGACCTTCTAAACTCAAGGGAACACAGACCTGGTTTACGCAACCTGTCCTCATAATTTAACCCTTTTAGCTCCAGTATGATTCTGGTGAATCTGTGTTGCACCCCCTCCAGAGTCAATCTATCCTTACCTGGCTTGGACGGTGGTGAGGGGCCGGTATTGGCTGCTGGAAGCTCTTCGTTGATGACTTCCCCGCTCTCGTTGTCCCTTTTCAAAATGGCTGGAAGGAGCAGCACAGAAAGTAGGGCAGTGTTACAATGGTGATAGTTGTATTGTTCCTCTCTGTTCACTGCCAACACAATAGCTGGTCCCTACAGGACTGAGGAACCATTCAACTACCGGCCACAGGTCTTGCTTGATGAGGCGGGGGGGGGGGGGGGGGGGGGGGTGGGGGGAGAAGCTTATGATTTTCAGAAAAGAATATTAATCCAGGAACACACACATTCTCTCCTTCACACGTCATGATCTCTTGGACAGTATCAGAATATAATATACGTCAACCTTGCAGAGACATCTCTCTCTCTCTCGCCTTCAGATTAGAAGGTTGTGGGTTCAAGCCCCAAATTGGGACTTTGAACTCATAGTCCAGGCTGACGCTCTAATTCATTGCTGGAGATAAGGCAATCTTGTAGGAGGTGCCGTCCTTAGAAAGACTGAGGTTAACGATCCCGTAGAACTGCGTGAGAACAGAAGGGAGTTTCTCCTGGTTCCTTGGCCAACAATTCCCCAGTTTAAATAAATAAAATAATTCTTATGTTTCATTGCAGCGCCTTCCGGGTCAGGAGGGTATATCAAAGCGCTTCACAAATGCCTACCATAAATTGTAGCCGCTGTGTTTTGCAGGCGAACGGGGCAGTCAATTTACACAGTTTATCCTGGATGTTCACTCTACGGTTGTTTGTGGGATGTCGCTGTGTGCAAGATTATCTGCCCCATTCACCTACAAAGTACACATTCACTACACTTTAAGGCAAGTCCTGTGAAGCGCTTTGAGTCAACCTCCTGACGTGAAAGTAGCTGTAACAAAATGCACAGATTATTATTATTATTATTAGATATTGAGACTGGACCCATTTATCTAAGTCACGGTAGGAAGGGAGCAAGTCTGATTGTACGGCAAGTCTAGAAGTGGCAGGAAATCTTTTAAACGCTGTATGGGATCGGGAGGTGGACAAACGTACTCAGATGCTCCTCGTAATCCTGGGAGTTGTCTAATGGCTTGAGAATCCCGTTGGTGTACTTCACAAAGTGGTCGATCACGCCCTGGAGACTGCTCTGCAAGATCTGGAAAACACCAGAGATTCGCGCCCGTTAGGGTCAGGAGCAGATCATTCAGTCCACCAACTGTTACGCTAATTGTCAAATGGCGGCATATCTTTCAGTCTCATCACTTCAAACATGTCCATGGTCACCCCCCAACACCCCTACCCCAGCCCCCCCACCACACCCACCCCCTCGCCGTCTCCCGGTGTCCAAGCCAACCCGCCCACATGCAGTGCTCCGAGACACTGTCCTGCCTATTCTCCGTATCCTTTTACATCCCACGTAACCACCTCCCTTTGAGAACATCATCATTTGTTTCAGTATCTGCAGCGTTCCTGGGTAGAGAGCCTAACGTCCTCACCACCTTTTGTTTGCCGAAAGATTTTCTAATGTCACTTTTGACCACTTTAGCTCCAATAACCCTCTAGACTAGACTAGACAATTCAGCGGAGTCCTGCGAGAGGTGCTGCATTTGTCGGAGGTGCCGTCTTTCGGATGAGACGTTAAACCCAGGCCCCGTCTGCCTGTTCAGGTGGACGTCAAAGATCCCGTGACACTATTCAAACCGAGAAGAGAGTTTCTCCCAGTCTCCTGGCCAATAAAGTCCCCCAGATAAAATTGGTCGTTTGTGTTTTTTGTGGGACGTCGCTGTGCGCAAATTGGCTGCTGCGTTCGCCCACAAAATACACAGTCACTACACTCTACAGCCAGATCCTGTGAAATGCTTTGAGGCATTTTGACGACATGATCAGGTGCTATTTAAATGCAAGAGTTATTTGTAATTAGTTAACAATAAAGCACAAAGACAACTTGCGCCCTTCACGTGGGGGATAGCGCCCCGGAGCGCTTGACAGGGGCAGAATCTGACTCCAAACCGGGGGGGGGGAGGGAAAGTGACCATAGGCTCGATCAAAAAGGAAGGTCTTTAGGCGGGAAAAAGAAGCATCTCTGAGCAGCTTTGCTCACTGACCCCTTGATCAACGTCGATGATGTACCCGTTGTCACTGCAGCGAACCCGGTAATGCCTCACACTCACAACCCTGAAACCAAACGTTAATAAAAAAATCAGCACCGTGTCCCGAACCAAAACAGTTAAACCCCACCATCACCATCACCACCACCACGACAACAACAACTTGCATTTAAAGAGCGCCCCTCGCGAAGTGTAGCGTCCCAGAACGCTCAACAGTGGCCGAGCCACTATAACAAACACCCTTTTTTTTAAACCATCCCATCTCCAAGACCCAAATTTTGCACCTTTTTGACGGCCAAACCTTATTATAGCAAACACCCTGATACAACAATCTTTGCTGCCGGTCCAGAGGAGGTTTGTTATAGTGAGGTTCGACTGTACCAACAACCAGCCCATGGCAGCTCCACCCTTGATCCTATTGTTATTCTCGGTGTCACCATCTACTCCGAGGCCCAACTAATTCTCAGTCTTTTTGTCTTAAAATTAGTTTTTTTTTAAAAAAAGCCAAAATATAAAACCCCAAAAATCGAAAATTCTTAAATTCGTTTTTCTCCAAAAAGAATGACTTTCAGAATATTCCCCGATTCTGAGCAATTTTCATTTCATGACAGCAGAATCCTCACCCCCAACAGTAGGTATTGATCCAAAATTGAAGCCTCTCTTTTCTTACCCATTGACCACTTGCCGCACTGTAATTGAGAAGTTCTTGTTATCACTTCCCGGCCTCAGGAGGATGTTCCCGAGCTCAGAGTTCCTCTCCAGAACCATCTCGGCCTCCACCCTCGAGACTTTATGGTAACAACTGGAAGAGAGCATTTGTCCATGCGTCACTCACTAAGGTAGTTGAACAACAGCTTCAGGTTCATTTGTAGGAACTTTCAGCCCCTCGAGCCTGGGGCGTCCAGTATACATGTGTCCGTTGATACATGTAGCAATGTTTTATTTTCCACTTTGGAATATGAAATTAACCAACGCAAGACCCCAGTATGTACACCACATTGAAATTTGCTTTGACCACCCTCCCCAGTCTCCACTTGCTGACGTGTCAGCCTGGCTCAGTTGGTAACACCCTTCCCTCTGGGTCAGAAGGTTCCGGGTTCAAGCCCCACGTCGGGAATTGAACTCATTGTCTAAGTTTAGCTACTGGACAGTTCCATGAAAAGAATGGGAAGAACAGCCACATGTCTGTACCTGGGGAGGGTATTTTCCACATCATCGTAGAAGTCCTGGCTGGATTCTTGTTCCTGCTTTCGTGGAGGAGAACTAATGGTTAACTTGGCTCTTCGGTCTATCTCCTCGTCTCTCATGGCGAGGAGTCTCTGGATTTGTCCGGGAAGGAGACTCAGTTTGGGGATTTCCAACTGCAAAAAAACAGTATGCAATTAATGTAAGATGCTCCCACTCCCCTCGGCTCAGCTCCACCAGCGACATAACAAACAATAATAATCCTTATATAGAAGCGCTTTGTGGAGTCCTGTAGCTCAGTGGGTTAGAGCACTCGTCTCGAAAGCGAGAGACCTGGGTTTGATTCTTGGCAGGATGAAATGTTGAGGAAGGTTCCCTACTTTACACGTCTCCGTTTACCTCGCAGTAACGACGACAACTTGCACTTATATAACGCCCTTCATGCAGGGTAGCGTCTCAGAGCACTTAACAGTCTCGGAGCCTGACTCCGAGCCAGGGTGAGAGAGGGTTGGTGGCCGTAAGCACAGTCGAAGATGAAGGTTTTCAAGCGGGTCTTCAAAGAGGGGAGAGGGGGGGGGCAAGGCGGAGGGATTGAGGGAGAGTGTTCCAGAGTTTCAGGGCGTAGTGGCTGAAAGTGCGACCTCCAATGGTGGGGCAGCAAAGGGTACGAGGGACGAGCAGGAGGCCGGTGAAGGTCAAGCGGAGGCGCCAGGTGGTGGATTGGGGAGTGAGGAGGTCGGAGAGGTAGTGAGGTGCCAGAGAGTGAAGGGATTTGAATGTCTTGAAGTCGATCCGTTCGGTGTTCCATGTGTTTCACGACGCCCGGCTGACCCCCCAAAAGAAAGATCCAGTGGAAATCTCCAGCGCAGAATTCAGCCCAGTTTTTATTCTCTTGAACAAAAAAAAATTCTACATTAAGTGGTGCTGAGGAGCCAGTGGAGCCTGGGCCAGAACTAGTGAGATGTGGGAACGGAGTTTGGTCCGGGTCAGTATGCGGGCAGCAAAGTTCTGAATGAGCTGGATATTTTGGATAGTGGAGCTGGGGAGACCAGCAAGGGATGCGTTACAGTAATCCAGCCGAAAACCTCGTGCATGCTTTGGGGTAAGGTACGGTCGGAGAGGTGGAAGAAGGCGATCCTGGTCAGTAACCAGATGTGGGGGAGGAAGGACACCTGGGGCTCGAAGTGGACGCCTAGATTGCGCACTGGTTCGGTGAGTGTGAGGGAGAGCCCAAGGAGGTTGAGGAGTGTAGATCCACAGGAGTGAAGATGTTGACGGGAGCCAAGGAGTATAGCTTCCGTCTTGTCCACATTCAGCTGTAGGAAGTTTGTACTCATCCAGGCCCTGATGTCTGCCAGACGAAGCTGATAGAACATCGGGGGGACCTGGAGTTGGTGCTGGAGGAGGCAATGTGATTTGTGTGTCATCTGCAAACAGGTGGAAGTTTACCTTGTGTCTGCGGATGACATCGCCCAGAAGGAGCATATGGTTGAGGAAAAGAAGAGGCCAAGGATGGGGCCCTGGGGTATCCCGCAGGTGACCAGGCGGGAGCAGGAGGAGAAACCATTTGCCGAGATGAAATGGAGGCAGATGGTTAAGTAGGACTTGAAACATGCGAGTGGAGTCCCACTAAGGTGTAAGAGGGAGGAGAGGCAGTGGAGGAGGATGACGTGGTCGACTGTGTCGAACGTGGCAGAGAGATCCAGGAGGACGAGGAGGCAGAGGGATCCTGGTCACAGGTAGAGAAATGTCGTGTAATGTAAGTTTGCCAAGCACTGTCTCTGTGCTGTGGGCAGTCGGGGCGAAAACCAGACTGCCGGGGCTCGAGGAGAGAGTGGGGGAAGAGGTGTGAACGAAGTTGAGCTGCAATAGTGCATTCCAGGACTTTGGCAAGGAAGGGCAGGTTGGAGTGTGCGAGATTAGAGGGATCAAGGTAGTTTTTTTTGAGGAGGAGTGTGATAATAGTAAGTAGGAATCTGGTTGTTAGTTGATTGGCGGATCGCTTTTCTGAAGGTAATAATCCCTTCAAGAAAAAAAATAATGATAATAGATTAGTCACTTCAATCCACAACTGTTTGTGGGATACTACTGTGTGCAATTGGCTGCCGCGTTTCGCCCACAAAGTATATGCAGTCAATTCACTTTACAGTATATTCTATGAAGCACTTTGAGAACAACAGTAAACTGAGATTACATAGTGCCTTTCACATCAGGCGGACGTGCCAGGGACAATGTCAGCTCCCTGAACCTTAATAAGTTACTTTTCCAGATAAGCATATGACCCTCGTTCACGTCATAAAACAGCAGAGGGTTTCAGGGGGAAATAAACCAGGGGGGATTTACTGAAATTATTTACATATGGGACCAGAATGCAAACCGGAGTTTATACGAGAGCAAAGCCCGTTTCAAACCTTTACTCATTCATGCTATCGGCATTTTTGAAAAATAAGCTAATTAAATGTACAATGTTAGACGCAGCCCTCACTCAGCGTGGGTCACAAGTGTCGCGTCTGAACGAGCCCGAGGGGATAATAGAGGCATGTGTAGGTGGGATACACGGAACTCTGTTTGATATGGATACTCTTTAGTAATACTATAATCCTTGTGTTTGATATAGCGCCTTACCACGTCACTGAGCCGTCTCAAACGCTTCACAGAATATACCGTAAAGTGGAGTTACTGTACGTTTTGTGGGCGAAATGCTGCAGCCAATTGCGCACAGCAGCGTCCCACAAACAGTCGTGGATTGAGTGACCACATTTGTTTTAAAAATAGGGATTATTATCCCCGGAAAAGCAATCCGTGCCAATCGACTAATAACCAGATTCCTACTTACTGCTAGGTAAACGCAGGCGTATGGAGTAAGGAAACTTACCTAGGGTTTCGCCTTGCCAGGGAATCTTTACCCAGCTCCTCTGGCTTGTGAGGAGAGGCAAGGACTCCAACCAATAGGCTACAGGACTGCACTACTCTCAAGCAATATCAGCATCTCAGCTATCCAACATCTGACTGATCCCTCCCCTTCTCCCCCCAAAAAGCAAGCTTACCTTTACGACTGTGTGAATGAACCCTTTCCATTCTTCTCGTGCCTCCACACTATCCATCTGCAGAAGAAAAGACAGGCAGACGTATAAAACCTTCAACGTTCTTCAAGGTCACAACCTAACTGACTGCAGCTTCGCCCACAAAACACAGTCACTGCACTTCACAGTATATCTTGTGACCCTCTTCTCAAAGTGAAAGGTGCTGTTCCAAATGTAAAGATTATTTTTAGATTCCTATTGGATTTTGTGACAGGCTTTTAGCCAAGTTGATAGGGGGGGGTCAGTAACTGGGGGACATAGTGATAAGATAGCCACAAGAACAGCGAAAGGGGAATTTAGGAGGGATTTTCCACCCAGAAAATAGTTGCGGTGTGGGACGCCTTGCTGAGTAGGATGGTAGAGACAAAGTCCATCATAGCTTTCAAGAGAGAGGATTGCGCTGTAGATTTCTATGTTCCTAAGTCTTACCCTTAACTTCAGTTTTCTGCGTTTCAGCCTCAATGTGAGTTTGGCTCCAGGCTGACTCTTGTCCTTGTTGTCATCTTCCATTGAAATAAACTCATCGAGATCCACTCTCTCAAGGTACTGAAAAGACAGAGACCATCAGAGAGTTTGAGCATCCACAGGCATGGCAGGGCGACGCGCCTTGAACTAAGCCATTGGTCTTAGCCTGCAGGTCATTTTATATTAAGGGGGTGCAGGATTGTTGGGGGGGTGGGGGGGCGGTGGAATCATTACTAATTTGGAATGTTGAAATTTAATAATAATAATCCTTGCATTTGATATAGCGCTTATCACGTCTTCTCGACGTCACAAAGCGCTTCACAGAATATACTGTAAAGTGAATTAATTGTATACTTGTGGGTAAAATGCAGCAGCCAATTGCCACAGCAGCGTCCCACAAACCACGGTGGATTGAAGTGACCAATTTATTATTGCTTTTTTTCTTGAGGGATTATTATTAGGCTGTGTGTGGAGTAAGGAAACTTGCCCAAGGTTTCACCCTCTGCCTGGAATTGAACCCAGGTGTCTCGCTTGCGAGGCGAGTGCTCTAACCACTGAGCTACACTCTAAATTTGCAGTGTTTATTAACAGGCTACATTATGCTGACCCACCAGAGCTCTGCCCCAACCCGGTCAATATCTGCACCAGGGAACACGTGTAGGCCGAAGGGAATTCTAACTGGATTCCTCATTCCCTAACTCGTGCCAGTGTGCGGGGAGTGTAACTCACATGTGTACGGTTCAGTGTTTAAACCAATATACAAAGCTAATAATGTAACAGAACTCATAAACCCCACGCCAAGTCTTTCAGGAACTGTGTCAATTTTATCCAATCACGACGTGAGGGGGGGGCTGTTCAATGCTAGACGTTAAACTGAGGTCCTGTCTGCCTGTTCAGGTGGGTGTTAAACATCCCAACGGCGCTATTTGAGAAGAGAAGGGAATTTCCTCCAGCGTCCTGGACAACTATCCCCAAAATGAAATTGGTTACTCAACCCATGGCTGCTTGTTGGACATCGCTCTGCACAACTGATTGCTGCGTTTCACCCTCAAAATTCAGTGAATCCACTACAGTATATCCTGTAAAGCGTTTTGAGACATCTCAATGAGGTGATAAGGCACTTTATTAAATGCAAGGATTATTATTATTGTCCAGGCCTTAGAGGCAGAGCACCAAGGCTAATCCCCAGCAATTCCATGTGATTAATGGGATGTCTTCAGCAAACCAGCCTAACACATTGCTGGACTATATTGCTAAATCAGTTGAGTTTCGATGCCCAGATGCCATGGTCTGCTCTGGACAACCTCCACCTTGAGTACTGTATTCAGTTCTGGTTACTGTGACATAAGGGACCTCGCCAGGCACTAAAGGCAATGTTAAGGAGAGCAACGAGAATGATTTGTCGTGCTCCACCACTGTCAAGCGTTCCAGGATGCTACCCCACGTGAGGGGCGCTATATAAATGCAAGTTGTTGTTGATTCCCAGTGTTAGAGCAACGAGCAGTGAATAGACAAGTTAGGGCTCTTCAGTCTTGAGAAGACATCTCAGAGGGGACCTTATAGAGTTGCACAGGATAAAATTTTAAATGAGATTGAAAAAGTAAACCCAGAACAATACTTTAAGAACATAAGAAATAGGAGCAGGAGCAGGCCATTCGGCCCCTCAAGCCTGCCCCACCACTTAATAAAATCATTGCTGATCTTCTAATCTAATTCCATTTACCTGCCCTATCCCCATATCCCTTAATCCCTTTAATTTTTAAAAATCTATCAATCTCAGTCTTGATTATGCCTTTTGGGGTAGAGAATTCCATAAATTCACTACCCTCTGAGTGAAGAAATGTTTTCTCAACTCAGTTCTAAAAGGCTGACCTTTAATCTTGAGACTATGACCCCTAGTTTTAGATTCTCCAACCAGGGGAAACAGTCTCACACTATCTACCCTGTCAAGACCCTTAAGAATCTTATAGATTTCTCTAAGATCACGTCTAATTCTTCTATATTCTAGAGAATATAGGCCTAGTCTCCTCAACCTCTCCTTGTAGGCCAACCCCCGCAACCCAGGAACCAAACTAGTTGCACCCCCTCTAAGGCGAGTATATCCTTTCTTCGATAAGGAGACCAAAACTGCACACAATATTCTAGGTGCGGTCTCACCAAGGCCTATACAATTGCAATAAGACTTCCCTACTCTTGTACTCTAACCCCTGTGCAATAAATGCTAACATGCTATTAGTCTTTCTAATTGCTTACTGTACCTGCATACTAACTTTCTGTGATTGATGTACAAGGACACCTAAATCCCTCTGAATACTGACACTATCTAGTCTCTTCCCCTCTAGAAAATGATCTGATTTTATATTTTTTTCTACCTAGATGAATAACATTATATTCCATCTGCCAAATTCTTGCCCACACACATAACTTGTATGTATCCCTTTGCATCCTCCTTGTGTCCTCCTCACAGCTTACTTTCCACCAAGCTTTGTATCGTCCGCGAATTTAGATTAAGCTCTATTTCCTCATCTAAGTCATTGATGTAGACTGTAAACAGTTTAGGCCCAAGCACTGATCCTTGCGGGACTCCACTAGTCCACTACTCTCTTGACCCAAGCTGTTTTCCCAAGATGTTCCAAACCCCGTCCCCTTCTTTCCACTATTCCCGCTCAACCCTCCTCTCCCTCCGCCTCCCCCGACTCCTATCCCTCCTCGAGTCTCCCACGGCCTCCCTCTGCTCCTCCCTTCACATTCTTCATCGTGCCCACCGTGGTAGACATCTTCGGCTGTCCTACAACAGCCATCCTGACTGCCCCTTCCCCCAGTCTCGCTGCAAGACTCACCGGCCCTCACTCACGGGAGCCAAGCTTTCCTCCCTCACATCCCCATCCAACCTGCCTGCCCACCACCTCCCGCCCCTCATCCTCCCCACACTTCCACCACTAACTGTCCTCCGTATCGGTCTGCAGAACGTCCGCTCATTAACCAACAAGTCCCTCACAATCCATGACCTCACTGTCGAGGAAAATATCGACATCCTCGCCCTCACCGAAACCTGGGTCACCCACTAGTTGAGGCCACACCTCCAGGTTACACCTTTCACCAAACCCCACGGCCTAATCGCAGTGGCGGTGTTGTGGCTCTCATCTCCCGGTCCCCTCTCGGCCTTTCCCCTTACTCCTCCGGAATCTTGCCCTCCTTTGAACACCTTACCCTCTACCACCCCTCCAGGCTTTCCCCCAAAATCCTCCTTGTTTACCCAAGCCTTTCACCACCTTCCTCTCGGACATCTCCACCCTGCTATCTTCCCTCTCCCTCTGCTCTGAACGTTTCCTTATCTTGGGCGACTTCAACCCCCACTTCACCCCCTCCTGCTCTACCTCTGTCGACTTTTCCTCCCTCCTTTCATCCCTTAACCTCTCCCTCCTCATCCACTCCCCCACCCACGTCTGTGGCCACCCCCTTGACCTGGTGATAACCCGGGGCTTCACCGTCTCGGACATCACCATCGTCGATAAAGCCATCTCGGACCACCACTTCATCTCCCTTAAACCCTCAGTACCCCTTCCCCCTTCCCAACCCTTACACACTGTCCATGGAAAAAAATTTCCTCCCTCTCCCTCTCCACTTCCCTGGAGTCATCTGAATGCCTACACCTCTGGCCCTCACTAACCGATCTCCCCTCCTCACTCTCCTTTCTCCACAACTCCCTCTCCTCCATTCTGGACTCCCTTGCCCCCACCTCATACTCCCGTAAGTCCCCCTGGTACACCAGCCATCTCCTTTCCCTCAAGACACAAATGCAAGCTGCCGAACGTGCCTGGACCAAATCCAAACTAACGATTCATCAGCAGATTTGGCTTCACCACACCAAGATCTACCGCTGCGCTCTTGCCTCCGCCAAATCCTCCTTCTACTCCAAGTTTATCTTGGAGGCAAAGGACAACCCCCGGCTTCTCTTTTCCACCACAAACCGTCTCCTCCGTCCACCTTCCCACCCCCCACCCATCCTCTCCTATACTCCTTCGACCCTATCTCTTCCTCTTCCCTCACCACGACTGTCCGCAAACTCAAACCCACCACCCAGCTCCACCTTCAGGGCCCCCTCCTGTCCAATGTCATCAACCTCTTCCACCCCCCTAAATACAGCCGTCAGTACCCCCTTCCCGAAAAGACCTTCCTGGATCCATCCGTCCTCTCCAGCTACCGCCCCATCTCTAACCTCCCATTCCTCTCCAAGGTCCTGGAATGAGTTGTCGCGTCCCAGCTCCGCTCCTTTCTTTCTCACCATTTCCTCTTTGAACCCCTCCAATCCGGCTCCCACGCTGCACACAGCCCCCGGGGTCACAGTCACTAATGATATTCTGAACATCTGTGATCGGGGCTCCCTCTGCCTCCTTGTCCTCCTCAACCTCTCTGCCGCCTTTGACATTGTCGACCACTCCATCCTCATACACCGCCTCTCCGCTTTACTCAATCTTCACGGTCCTGCCCTTGCCTGGTTCGATTCCTATCTCTCTCACCGTCTCCACTTCGTTGCCTTTAACTGTTTCTCCTCCAGCCCCCGCACTGTCACATCTGGCATCCCCCAGGGCTCTGTCCTTGGCCCTCTCCACTTTAATATCTACATGCTCCCCCTGGGACATGGGGTCAACTTCCACATGTATGCGGATAACACCCAACTCTATCTTTCTGCCCCCACCCTCAACTCCAGGACCACTGCTGTCCTGACAGACTGCCTGTCGGACATCAGGTCCTGGATGAGGGCAAATTTCCTACAGTGGAATGTGAACAAGACTGAGGCCCTCCTGAGTGGCTCGCCCCAGCGCCTCAGCACCTCAGGCTCTGGCAGCATCAACCTCCATGGTTGCTCACTACAACTCACCAGCCAGTCAGGAACCTCGGTGTCTTGTTCGACCCTCAACTGTCTTTTCTCCCCCATATTCAAGCCATGACCCGTTCTGCCTTCCCTCACCTCCGTAACATCGCCCGACTCTGCCACCATCTCACCCCTCAGGCCGCTGAAACTCTTGTTCATGCCTTCATCACCTCCAGGCTCGACTATGCAAACCCCCTGCTTGTCGGCCTTCCCAACTCCTCCCTCCACAGGCTACAGATAATCCAGAACTCTGCAGCCCGTGTCCTCTCCCGTACCAAACGCCATGACCCCATCTCCCCCACTCTCGCCCGACTGCATTGACTCCCTATCCTTCAGAGGATCAGTTCAAGATCCTGCTCCTCACTTACAAAGCCCTCCATGGCCTCGCCCCATCCTACCTCTGCGACCTCCTAACCCCCTACCAACCCGCCCGCTCCCTCCACTCAGCCGGCTCTGGCTGCTCCATGTCCCCCGACCCACCCGCCCCAACATTGTCAGGAGAGGCTTCAACCATTCTGCCCTCAACTTCTGAAATTCGATCCCCCCGTCACTCCACCTCACCCCCTCCTCAGCCTCCTTCAAGTCCCGCCTCAAGACCCTCCCATCGGCCACCCCCCTTCCCCCTCCCCCCCCCCCCCGACCCCAGCTCGGGTCTGAAATGCTGTACTCTGTTCAGGGCCTTGGGATGTCCTCCCGACGTGAAAGGCGCTATACAAATGTAATCTTGTTGTTGTTTTCTGCCTGTTAACCACTCTTTGATCCATGCTAATATATTACCCTTAATTCCATGAATCCTAATCTTACGTAACAACCTTTAAGATGCACTGAGACGACAGAACAAGAGGAACAGGTTTAGAGTTGCAAAGGGCAATTGCAGCTCTGATTCCATGAAGATTTTTGTTTATCCAGAGGGTAAATAACTACCGGAACTGGTTGAGGCTAGGTCCCTGGGACTCATTTAAAAAGCAGCTCGGAGGACAGTAAAGTGGGTGTTCTGAAAAGAGGAGATTAAATGGATCAAAGGGCCTTTCTTTATCTGACCATCCTCTGTGGTGGACTAGAGCAGAGAAATACGATCTGATGTAGAGGTAGGTATTTTGCTCGTGCAATACAGTGCCTCCATTCTAATGGGCGAACCTTCATTTGCAATAGAGAAGCATATAGGCAAATGCTGATGGTAACTGAAGATAAATAGTGCGTGCAGGAGATCAGTGCAGCCTGGGTGGGTGACTTGCAGCTGGCTCCGATAGCAGGAGCAATAGGCAAACAATCACGTCAAGACATCTCAAAGTGTCATCGCTGGTACTGGTCACAGTAACATAAGCGGACTTCCGAAGCCCGAGAGGCCATGCAGTGGAGTGCAATGAGGATGATCTCCAGGGTTAGTTCAATGAGCTACGAACAAACATCAGATAAGCTGGGATTCTTTAGGCTCGAACAGAGGCATCTCAGAGGGGGCCTCATAGAGGTTTACAAGGATTGAAATGGGATTGAGAAAGTCAACTCAGAACACTTTCGGACGCACCGAGACATCAGAACAAGAGGAGACATGTTAACAACAACAACTTGCATTTATATAGTGCCAGGTAGAGTCCCAGAATGCCTGACAATGGCGGAGTTGACCCCGAGTCAGTTGGAGAGGGAAGAAGGGAGGTGACCGTAAGCTGATCAAAAGAAAGGTCTTACACAGGATTTGAAAGTGGGGAGAGAGGGGACAAGGTGGAGGGATTGGGGGGAAGAGAGTTGCAAGGGCCAATTTCCGGGCAGACACCCAGAACGTTTTTCTTTAGCCACAGGATAATTAATGACTGGAACAGGTTTGCCAGGAAGGGATGGTTGAGGGCAGGACACTTGGACTCATTTTAAAAAAGAGCTGGATGGGAGGATGGTGGTAGGGTGACTGTTCTAGATGGATGAGATCAGATGGGCTGAAGGGAATTCTTCACCTGAACCTCTCGTAAGAAGGCCGGGTCCTGGTGGTTGTGACCTACCGTTGGTTCCCTGCTGGTCACCTGGAAACACAGGTGGTTTCCTCGTAGCACCGTCCAGAACTTTTTGTAATCCTGTCAGAGAAGAGAAAAAATTGGCCATCAAACACAGACTGGAAATGTGAGACGTTATAATAATAATAATCAACAAAACTTGCATTTGTATAGTGCCCTTCACACAGGTTAGCGTTCCGGAACGCTTGATATATAATCTTTACATTTGATATAGACGTCTCAAAGCACTTCATAGAGTATACTGTAAAGTGAATTCACTGTATATTTTGTGGGCGAAACCCGGCAACCAATTGCGCACAGCAGAGTCCCACAAACCATCGCGGATTGAGTGACCAAATTATTATTTATGGAATTATTACCCTCGGAAAGCAATCTGGCAATCGACTAACAACTGGGTTCCTATTTACTGCTAGGTAAACAGAGGCGTGTGCAGTGAGGAAACTTGCCCAAGGTTTCGCCCTGCTGGGAATCAAACCCGGGTCCTTTTGCTTGTGCGGTGAGTGCTCTAACCATTAAACTACAGGAATATTTTAGCCTCTGATGTGTTCCAACATAAGAGGCTAAAACACCCAAGCCCATTCCTTCATGTCTGGAATGAATTAAGTTAACAAGCCGAGCCATGCAGTCTAGGAAGATTCCAGGGTCAAACACCTGGCTGTGCTTAGCTTATCTCAGTCGGGAGTGCAATTGGTCTTCACTGCCTGGTCTCCAGGGTGTCCACAAAGGTCTTGTTTCCCCCTTTATTTCCTCTCTCTTTTACAATGAATTTTTATTATCTGGTGCAGATGAGTCGAGTGTAACAACGTCTGATAGTTTATACCCTCATCAATTATCATCGCCAACACGTAATACCAAATGTGCTAACATTCAGATCAATGTTGAAAGTTCTGCCTGTTCAGGTGGACGTTAAAATATCCCACGGCACTGCTCAAAAAAAAGATAAAAGACGGGAGTTTCTCCTGGTGTCCTGGCCAACAATCCCTCCGGATAAAATTGGTCGCTCAGTTTATGGCTGTTTGTGGTATGATGATGTATGCAAATTGGCTGCTGCGTCCGCCTACAAAATACAATCACTGCATTGACTGCAGTTACCACATTGTTCCAGCCACTTCCTTCACTCAGAGAGCTTTGTGTCCCACACCCATCGGGGGACAGTCTTTCAGTCATTCCGTCTCGACTGTCTTCAATTCCGTTTCAGAATCTCTTCGTCTCATTGACGGCTCTTTCAGTCATCTTTCTCCTCCCTACCCCACCCTCAGCTCAGGTACCCATCAAGCATTGATATGAAGCTCTCTGAGACATGCCCCCAACATGAAAGACATTTTACAATGTAAATGTGTATTGTAATGGTGCTTTATCAAATGAAAATTTATCATCATCATCAATGACAAATTACATTTGCATAGCGCCTTTCACATCGGGAGGATGTCCCAAAGCGCTGGACAGTCAAGGATTTGGACCTGAGCTGGGATCAGGATTATTATTTTTGTTTTATTATCATTAAATGTCACAAAAATACAGGAGGAAGCGCAAGGAATTCGGTAGAATTAAGATAGAATCCAGTGCCTTAGGACGTCCACCTGACGTGAAAGGCGCTATACAAATGTACACAAATGTAGAAAGTAATCGGCCCCAACAAAAGGCTCAGAGGAGACAGTTTCTGGTTATGTTGTTCTTTGTGTCGCATTGCGATTCGGTCGCTGACAAATCATTTCAAGTTTCCCAACTATGTTAAACAAAGTGATTCTGATATATAAATAAACAAGTCGGTTTGAATGGATTTCGGGAAATCACACACTGAAAATGCCCTGAGGTCTGATATTCAGCCGATTAACCTGCCAACATGTACGTACATTCCAGAGAGAGATGAGTGCTCTTAATCTTAATCACTATCTTAATTTAGTTTCTTGGCTTCTGTGAACCAGCCAAGCTTTGCTTGGTAACCTTCGGGGTCTCAGCGAGGTTCGACCCCAAAATCCTCTGACCCCAAAGCGAGCAAAGCTGGGATTTTATATTTTGAAAAACGTTTTCACGCACACGGGCTGTGAAGTCATTGCACAAACAGCATCGTGTGTGGGTGTCTGTGTGTGGGTGCCTGTGTGTGTGTCTGTGTGTGTGTCTGTGTGTGTCGCTTGACATTCCAATTGTCCATTCCTGGACTATCGAGAGAAGCCAGAATATGAGGCGCTTTTGTTCCTTTCCCGGTTCATTGTTACATTAAACTGAGGTCCCCGATGCCTGTTCAGGCGGACATTAAAGACTTCACGACACGACTCGAAAGGAGATTCTCCGGGGGTCCTGAATAACAATCCCCCCACCTCGGTTTAACAACTCCACCATCCGACAACGCAGAACTCCCCCGTCACTGTATTGGAGTGTCATTCTAGACTATGAGATCAGAGTACCAATATGAGGCTTTAACCCACAACCATCATGAACCAGGCTGACGCACATACACCTGTGTTTCACAGAGGAATAAGCACTCCATGATGCTGCCCTGCATGAAGGATGCTACACAAATGCAGGTTGTTGTTTTCTTATAGAGTTTTCCTTTGGACAGTGAGAGATACTGAGTGAGGTGGAAAGGAGCAAGTGAAAAGGCGCCAAAGGCTGAGTTAAAGAGGTAGGTATCGTCGGCAGAAAGAGGAACAAATGGCATGGGAAAGAATGTTCTGGAGAGGCTGAAATGCCTCAGGAATGAGAGATCAGAAACAAAAACACAATGTTTGGGCCACAGCCAGAATATGTCATAAATCAGGTCGATCCACATACTCGGAGTCTCAAAGGAATGTGTCAGCAATAAAGAAGACCAACAGTCATTGGGACAATTCGTTTGCAATCCGAGAGTGTCCAAAAACTTTACAGAAATATACGACACTGACACACACCTTCCGACTTGAAAGGCAGAAGGTGTGGAACGCCTTGAAACTCTGGAACTCTCTCCCTCAATCCCTCCGCCTTGCCCCTCCCCCCCCCCCCCCCCCCACCTTAAAATCCCACCTAAAGACGTTCCTTTTTGATCGTGCTTACGGTCACCTCCCCCCCTCCCTCCCTCTCCCCTTGGCTCATTGTCAGACTCCGCCACTGTCGAGAGCTCCGGGACGCTGGGCTGGGTGAAGGGTGCAAGTTGTTGTTGTTGATATTAGATTGAAGGTTTTTTTTTATGATATTATTATTGTTGATGAAATCATACTCAGGCTGTAGGTGGGGCCACATCTGCCACGGCACCGTTTTGTACCACAAACAGCCCATTTGAGTGATCAATTTTATCTGGGGGATTGTTGGCCAGAGCTGGGAGAGAGAGAGAGACACTCCCTTGTCTCTGCCCATGCTGCGTGGGATCATTAAACAGTCGTCTGAACAGGCAGACAGAACCTTGGTTTGACATCTCATCCAAGCAATGGCTCCTCCAACAATGCCCCACTCGCTCCCCCAGCACTGCGTTGGGGCGTCAGCCTGGACTATGAGTCCCAAGTCCTGATGTGATTGATGAAGGTCCTCATCCATTATTTCAAATCTGTTGACCATCTCACCTACACCATCTCCCCCAGCCTCACTCATGCTGCTTCCTTCCAGCTCTGGTCTCCATCTCATTTCCTCACTCCCTCTGTCCCACAAGCAGAAGCCAAGCCTTCAACCTCCTCTCAAGCTCTCCCACAAAATGCTTTTGCCTTGTGCTCTCCTCCCCCTCCCCCTAGGGAAACCTCGGTCTTCGATCCTGCATTTGGTCATTACCAAGTACTATATTACCATTGCCATGCAGCCCACCTGTACATGGAAACTCCGGCACTAGATTGTTGGAATAGAATGCGCACTCTCTCCCCGGAGAGATGTATCCTGCTTTCCTAATTCCAGAAAGTATTAGGCGCAGGTTGGAAAAAGTAAAGGCTTGGGAATCCCAGAGTTTGCGTTTGGGTAACTACCCCCAATCCCTCCGCTTTGCCCCCTCCTTCCCCTCTTTTAGATCACGCCTAAAGACCTTTCTTTTCGACCGTGCTTATGGTCACCTCCTCCCTCCGTCTCTCGCTGTTAAGAGCTCCGAGACACTGCCCCGTGCGAAAGACGCTATATAAATGCAAGTTGGTGTTATTGCTGGAGTCTAACCAACTAAAACCACAAAGCTCGCCATTGAAAGCACTGTCTGACAAGCTTTCCCACCGCTTGTCCAGCTAGGACCACCCTACCTGTTAAGCATTTTGGGTTAACAAGGGCTGAGTGGGAGGATTCCTTGCCCCCAGTGACTTGGCTGCCGTTCCAAATCCTAACGTTGCATTTAACTATCTATCCCCAAGCTCTCTCTCACTCTCTCTCACTCACTCTCTCTGTAAAACTACACCCAAGGAAGAAAGTTTAATCGCTGACTTTCAATCGGAGTCAGTCCCTGGCTGGCTGACTGTTTCTTCGGGAGTTTCGTTTCAAACAAACTTCCAGAGACGTCGTCTTTTTGTTAAGTGAACGCCGCGTCGAAAAAAATAACGATCAATCCAAAAAGACCGAGTTGAGAACCGAAAAAAGGGATTTTTTTTATGATATTATTATTGTTGATGAAATCATACTCAGGCTGTAGGTGGGGCCACATCTGCCACGGCACCGTTTTGTACCACAAACAGCCCATTTGAGTGATCAATTTTATCTGGGGGATTGTTGGCCAGAGCTGGGAGAGAGAGAGAGACACTCCCTTGTCTCTGCCCATGCTGCGTGGGATCATTAAACAGTCGTCTGAACAGGCAGACAGAACCTTGGTTTGACATCTCATCCAAGCAATGGCTCCTCCAACAATGCCCCACTCGCTCCCCCAGCACTGCGTTGGGGCGTCAGCCTGGACTATGAGTCCCAAGTCCTGATGTGATTGATGAAGGTCCTCATCCATTATTTCAAATCTGTTGACCATCTCACCTACACCATCTCCCCCAGCCTCACTCATGCTGCTTCCTTCCAGCTCTGGTCTCCATCTCATTTCCTCACTCCCTCTGTCCCACAAGCAGAAGCCAAGCCTTCAACCTCCTCTCAAGCTCTCCCACAAAATGCTTTTGCCTTGTGCTCTCCTCCCCCTCCCCCTAGGGAAACCTCGGTCTTCGATCCTACATTTGGTCATTACCAAGTACTATATTACCATTGCCATGCAGCCCACCTGTACATGGAAACTCCGGCACTAGATTGTTGGAATAGAATGCGCACTCTCTCCCCGGAGGTATGTATCCTGCTTTCCTAATTCCAGAAAGTATTAGGCGCAGGTTGGCAAAAGTAAAGGCTTGGGAATCCCAGAGTTTGCGTTTGGGTAACTACCCCCAATCCCTCCGCTTTGCCCCCTCCTTCCCCTCTTTTAGATCACGCCTAAAGACCTTTCTTTTCGACCGTGCTTATGGTCACCTCCTCCCTCCGTCTCTCGCTGTTAAGAGCTCCGAGACACTGCCCCGTGCGAAAGGCGCTATATAAATGCAAGTTGGTGTTATTGCTGGAGTCTAACCAACTAAAACCACAAAGCTCGCCATTGAAAGCACTGTCTGACAAGCTTTCCCACCGCTTGTCCAGCTAGGACCACCCTACCTGTTAAGCATTTTGGGTTAACAGGGGCTGAGTGGGAGGATTCCTTGCCCCAGTGACTTGGCTGCCGTTCCAAATCCTAACGTTGCATTTAACTATCTATCCCCAAGCTCTCTCTCACTCTCTCTCACTCACTCTCTCTGTAAAACTACACCCAAGGAAGAAAGTTTAATCGCTGACTTTCAATCGGAGTCAGTCCCTGGCTGGCTGACTGTTTCTTCGGGAGTTTCGTTTCAAACAAACTTCCAGAGACGTCGTCTTTTTGTTAAGTGAACGCCGCGTCGAAAAAAATAACGATCAATCCAAAAAGACCGAGTTGAGAACCGAAAAAAGGGATTTTTTAAAAAAAGTTAAAGCACGGTTATGCTACAAAACGTTATTCTTGCGAGACTTGGCAGCCCTGAGCGCAAAAGGTAAACCCATCGCCAACTCAATAAAACTCCTGACCAACTCCCCTCCACAGCGCATAAAAAAAAAGTCAATGGCATAACAAATCATAACAAATCACATTGCAGAACAAAATCACAGTTACTAAAACAAGGGGAGAGAGGGGGGAAGATGAAGGGAGAGGGGGGAAGATGAAGGGGGGGGGGGAAGGGGGAGACAAACAACTGCAGTACAACAATGGAACAATCGAGCTCTCCAAAGGTGTATCAGGGGGGAGGAGGGGGAAAAAAACAAAGTCACCAATATATTAAAAAAATCTGTAGTTACTTTGGTTTCTGAGTCCTGTTTCTCCACAAATCCCTCGTAGTAGCCTGGGATGTGGCTGGCTCTGGATCGTGCTGGTGTGGCGAGGGTAACCTTAGGCAATGCCATGGCTGGCAGGGCTGGCAGGGCTGGCAGGGCAGGGGGCAGAGAGTGAGACAGGACTGGGGGGGCAGAGGATGGCACCTGTGGCTTCAGTGCCACTCAACGCAGTGTCAGTGCTGATGAAGGGAACAGCTGTGAAAATGTATCCACAGGGCGACCGGCGCCCCGCCCACTGCGGCGTCTGATTGGCGGGAGGCTCCCGGCCGCCTCCGCTGATTGGTCGGTGTCCACGTCAATCACCGGCCGCCCCCACCCCCCCACCTATCCCCTGTCAATCAAACGCCTTAACGATCATAATCATAATAATCATAATGACAATAATAATAATAATGACAATAATAATAATAATAATAATAACAATAGTAATAATAATAACAATAACAATAATAATAATAATAATAATAATCCTTGCATTTGATATAGCGCTTTTCACGTCGGGAGGACGTCCCAAAGCGCTTCACAGAACACACTGTAAAGTGAATTGACTTATATAATCTAATAGTAATAATCCTGGCTTTCGATATAGAGCCTTTCGCGTCTTCTCGACGTCCCTTCGCAGGGTATCGCCGTCGAGTCAATCGACTGTGGATTTGTGGGCGGAACGCGGCGGCCAATTGCGCAGCGCAATGTCCCCACACGAACAGCTTCGTGAACGTTCAACGTCATTGAACGTGACCGGTGTATTATTGTTTGGTTTTGGAGGGGTTATTATCAGAGAGGCGTGTGGGTGCGGAGTAAGGAAACTTGCGCAAGTTTAACCTGGCTTCTTGGAAAGTACCTTTAATTTCACCTCCCTTCCCCCCCACACACACCCCCCCCACCGCCTTCCTCCTGACTCGCACTCCACACCCCGTTCAGAGGTCAATTTACTTTATGTACTGCGGTTAGAGCGTTCGCCTCACAAGCGAGAGACCTGGCTTCGATTCCTGGCAAGGCAGGGCGAAACCTTGGGCAAGTTTCCTTACTCCCCACACACGCGCACACACACACACACACACACACTCTCACATATGCCTTGATAATAATCGCTCCCGAAAAAAAAAAGCAATATTGAAATTGGTCACTTCGATCCACGACTGTTTTCGGGGCCGCTTGCCGCTTTTCGCCCACAAATGTACAATCAATTCACTTTGCAGCATATTCCATGAAGCACTTTGAGACGTCGAGAAGATGTGATCAGGCGCAATGCCAAATGCAAGGATTATTATAGAGGTTTCATTCGATACCATTGAATAACTTTCAGGGGATGTGACACACATATCTGGCATATCATTAAGGATCAAGATCTGATCTTGTTTCTATAACATCCTCATTCTTCCCTGCTCTTATCTGTCAAGCAAATGATAATAATAATCCTCGCACCTCATGTCGGCGAGACGTCTCACAGTGCTTCGCAGGAATTACTGTAAAGTGAATTGACTGTATTGTGCGCGTGAAACGTGGCAGACAGGTTGCACACAGCAGTGTCCCACAAATAGCCATGGAGTGAGTGATTAATTTTATCTTGGGGATTTGTTAGCCAGGACACCGGGAGAAATTCTCTTTTCAAATAGTGCCATGGAACCTTTAACATCCACCTGAATAGGCAGACAAGACCCATGTTTAACGTCTCATCTGAAGGACGCATCCCTTGGTTGAGACATGGCATTAATAATAATAATCCCTGCATTTGATATAGCGCCTTATCAGATCTTTGAGACGTCTCAAAGGCTTCACAAAATACACTGTAAAGTGAATTGATGGTATATTTTGTGGGCGAAACGTGGCAGCCAGCAGTGTCCCACAAACAGTCGTGGATTGAATCGACCAATTTTTTTTTGAAGGAATCATTATCCCCGGAAAAGCGATCCACCAATCGGCTAACAAACGAGTTCCTACTTACTGCTAGGTAAACAGGCATTTGGAGTAAGGAAACTTGCCCAACATTTCACCCTGCCAGGAATCGAACCCAGGTCTCTCACTTGTGGGGCGAACGCTCTAAACCACCGAGCTTTTAAAGGATGTGCAATAAAACACATCCTTTAAGGGACAGGTATCACACGACTGTCCTCCTTGGAGCTGAACTGATTCCAAAGGTCTGGCAATGGAATGTCGGAATTGAGTGCGCCCTCCGTAGTGGTCTCTGAAGTCCGATTCAGGTTGGCAGACTCCAGGGCATTGCTGATGACAGACCAGTCAGCCTTGGCTCACTGGTAGGACTTGGAAGGGCAGACCAGTCACTGGGAGCAGGGATACTCCTAGTTCAGCTCCTGTTAATCCTGCAAGTCAAAGGGGAATGAGTGCACATTCTATTCCAGATCCAGGGAAAACTTCTATGAGTAGATGGTACAAGTGTGGAATTCTCAGCGTTTGATTTGGAGCCACTTAAGCTTCGTGCTGGGTTTCCATTCTTTCTGCGTGTGGTTTTTTTTTTGGGGGGGAGCAGACATCTCTGGCTGACCAAAAAAAAAACCCCACACACAGAAAGAATTAAGTGGCTCATAAACTGGCATTATTATAAAACCAACCTGCCTGCTAATTTGGGAGTTTCTTCCAAGGCAGGGAGAGAGGGGAGGTAACCGTGTGCACGATCGAAGAGGAAAGTCTTCAGGTGCGATCTGAAGAAGGGCGAGGATGGGGCGAGGTGGAGAAATTGAGATAAAACGTTAAACCAAAGTTCTGTTTCCCTGGTCAGACGAGACTCTAAAAACCCCCCTTGGCGTTACTCAAAAAGCAAAGTGATTACAAATACACAGTCAATGCATTTTACAGCAATTAGCAGTGAAGGATTTTTGAGATTTTTCAACATTATAGCCATTAGAGCAAATGCAAAGTTCCACAGCAATAACTTTGAAGTCAAGGAAATAAATTTAGAGTCGAAACCAGCCGTGATTGCAACACCGTCTTCATGTTTGCTGTGGGGCTGACTTGCCTGACATGAGCCATCACACATTAAATCGATTTTTGTTATCAGCTGAGCACCCAGGAGAAGAGTGGCAAGGAAGCGTGTGATTAGCCCATGAATGTCCTGAACTGCAGATCTCACTATATTCCCTCACCGCACCCCCACACACAGCCCCCCCCACACACACCCCCACACACACACCCCCACACAGAACAAAAACAAAATTACATTACACACAACCACACCCTTCCTCCTTGTATCTTTGCTGCTTTAAAATGGTAACTCATCGCATTCTTCTCCTACTTTATTCATTCTTCCCCGGGAAATCTAAACTACCAAACTCTTCCTTTCGCTCAGTCTTCTACTCCATCCCCCAAATCTCCAACCCTTTAAAACCCAAGCTTTCCGTGGAGTCCTGCAGCTCAGTGGTTAGAGCACTCACTTTGCAAGTGAGAGGCCTGGGTTTGATTCCCGGCAGGTCAGGGCGAAACCTTGGGCAAGTTTCCGTACTCCACACGCCTGATAATAATCCCTAAAGAAAATAAAACAATAATAAATTGGTCACTTCAAACCACGATTGATTGTGGGACACTGCTGTGCACAATTGGCTGCCGTATTTCGCAGATAAATATACAATCAATTCACTTTACAGTCTATTCTGTGAAGCGCTTTGAGACGATGAGAAGACGTCAAAAGCGCTATATCAAATGCAAGCATTATTATTATTATTACTCATCCACCGGTTCTCCAATTATCCCATTCTTTCTCCAAGTCCTTTCAACCTTGACGATTTCTTGCCCTTCTCCACCACCCCCCCACCACCCCCTTAACCATTATAAAGAGAAATTCCGCCCACAAAATATACAGTCAATTCACTTTACAGTATATTCTATGAAGAGCTTTGAGACGTCTCAAAGACATACTTTTTGGCAGTGTTTGCTGCTGCTGTCAAGGCATTGCTGGGAAGTTCGAGCTTGAGGCTGTTGTGCCAAATGCCAAATATGAGGATGTGTGTCACTGTGACATTTACAGTTTGGGTTTATACAATAACACAGGCGGCTTCTCTGCTCCGGGCAAATTGTGTAATGAATGAATTGCTGTGAATAGCTGTCGCATATGATTGACTGAGATTTTCCTCGTACAAGAAAGCATAATACTAATTTACATTTACACAGCGCCTTTCATGTCGTCAGGATGTCCCAAAGATCCCCAACCCCAACCCCTACGATGGTCCTTGACACATTCGATGTGTTATCTGATCTGTTAAGAAACGTGACGTTTTTTTATCCATTATTGTTATTAATACTTTGGATATTGTTTTAGACTGACATCAAAAGATCACAGAGACGATTCCACCAAATCCTGCGGAGCAGCACTTAGCTCATATCAGCAAATGAGTTACACAGAATGGTCGCAGTTGTACTGCGTATAACCCCCCTGTTAATCCTGGTACCCAGTGCCAGCATCAAGCAATGTGCAACAACAACAATTTGTGTTTACGGTGCATTTGCACTGCAGTGACCAGAACTATACGCAGTAACTCATAGTGTGGTCTGACCAGAGCTCTGTATATGACGTTCTGAAGATAATGAAGAGGATTGATCCGGGCAAATTGCTCCGTGTATTGAAGAGTTGAATAGCCAGGCAGGTTTGAGGAAGAAGGGAAAGAAAAATAAACAAATTACCAGCAATGGTCATTACTGTAAAGCAGGGGTGGTTAAATGGGTGTAAAGAGCAAGTAGATGCTTTATAAATGGAATCTTGTTGTTGTTGTTGTAGATGCGTGTCTGGAGACAGAAGAGATCCAGAGATATGACTATCAAAAAAAATCTCTGCTTTATTCTTATTTTATGGCAATATTAGAGCGCCCACTGCTGGGCACGACAGGCACTGCAGTCAGGCTCGGTAAAATGCTTTTATATAAAAAAACTAAGATATTGTAGATGAAGTATATCTAACATAGGTAATAATAATGAGATAATAGTAATGAGCCTTGCATTTGATATAGCGCCATATCACGTCTTCGAGACGTCTCAAAGATCTTCACAGAATATACTCTAAAGTGAATTGACTGCGTATTTATGGGCGAAACGCGGCAGCCAATTGCGCACCGCAGCGTCCCCACAAACAGTCGTGGGCTGAAGTGACCAATTTGTTTTTACTTATTTATTTATTTCTTTATTGAAGGAATTATTACCCCTGGAAAAGCGATCCGCCAATCGACTAACAACCAGGTTCCTACTTGAACAAAGGAGTAAGGAAACTTTCCCAACGTTTCGCCCGAACCCGGGTCCTCTCGCTTGCGAGGCAAGTGCTCTATCCACTGAGCTACAGGACTCCACGAGACGTCCAGTTAAGTGTGCAAATCGTTAGCTGACCAGCACCTTGGGACGTCCCTCTGACGCGAAAGGCGCTATACAAATGTAATTTGTTGTTATTGTTGAGTCGCTCTAGGATGCCTCCCTGCATGAGGAGCGCTACATAAATGCAAGTTGTTATTGCTGTAGTAGAGTCGCGCTGGAGTCCTGTAGCTCAGTGGTTAGAGCACTCGCTTTGCAAGCGAGAGACCTGGGTTCACAACCTTGGGCAAGTTTCCTTACTCCACACACCTAATAATAATCCCTCCAAAACAAAACAATAATAAATTGGTCATTTTCAATCCACTGCTGTTTGTAATTGGCCGCCCCGTTTCGCCCAGAAATATACGGTCAATTCACTTTAAGCATATTCTGTGAAGCGCTTTGAGACATCGAGAAGACGTGATAAGACACTATATCAAATGCAAGGATTATTATTATTATATTATTATCTCGGAAATCCATCAGTTTCAACATCTATAAGAGCAAGTTGTTGTTGTTATGAAGCCAGTACTGGAGTCCCAGACCCACCCAGTGAGGGGCAGGAGATACCCCAGCCGGCACCTCATTGCCAACTGGACACTGACCCCCCCCCGATATTACTCTGTTGCTGACTGAGTTCCTGCCTATTTATTACTGCCAACAATCAACACACTTTACTGCCCATGAATAGTCCACTGGTCGTAAATTCACCACTTCCTCCTACTCCCCACAGGATTTAATTTCAACATATAGCAGCGAATACAACAGCGGCCATATCGAGTATCAACGTGCCTCAGTCGGTTGTGCTCCACCCTTCTGGTTGAGGGTTTAATCTGTGGACTTTGAGCTCACTGTCTTGGCTGATATTTCAGTGGGGTTGCAATGCACTGTTGCAGGTGCTATCCTTTGGACGAGATGCTCAACTGAAGGTCCATCTTCTGTTCAGGTTGAGCCGTCGAATAACTATTTGGAAAGAGAAGGGAGTTTCTCCCAGTCCCCCGGCCAACAATCCTCCAATTAAATTGATCGTTCGCTTCATTGTTTGAGTGAAAATTGGCTGATGTGTTTACGAACAACGACACAATTGCTAGAGTTGACTGTGATTCCGATGCGAAAGACGCTATATAAATGTAATTTGTTGTTGTTGTAGTTGACAGGAATTTCCTGAAAATGCTTTGATATGTTTCAACGCTATATCAAATGCAAGGATTAGTGTTAAGCATCTGAGACTCTACCCCACAAAGGGCACGATTGGTATTGTTATTGTTGTCCAAGAATTCCAGTCCATTCTTCAGGAACAGTCGGCCTGTCCTGACTTGCCTCCACCGTTGATCAATGCAGTTATTTTATAATGACCAATAAATCCCGAATGAAATTGATCACTCCCTCCATGGCTGTTTGTGGGACTTTGCTGTGTGCGCAAATTGGCTCCCCTGAGATGTCAGCCCGATGTGAAAGGCGCTAAACCAACTGTAAGGATTATTATTATTATTATTATTAGTGTTTTTATACTTTAGTGAAATTGCAGGCCTGGAATCCTCAGCATTTCTAAAACCTGCAACATTCCTTTCTCACAATTTTGGATCCGCACAATATTTCCCACACATTTCCCCTAAAAGTGTCAGAAAGCCCAGGTCAGACACAGGTCCCGTCTGCCTGCTCAGGTGGGTGTTAAAGATCCCGTGAATCTACTCGAAATGGGTTTCTCCCGGTGTCCTGGCCAACAAAACCCCCAAATAAGATTGATCAGTCACTCGCGTGGCTGTTTGTGGGACATTTCTGTGCGCAACTGGTCGCCACGTTTCACCCACAGAATACAGTCAATCCAGGAAGAGCTTTGAGACGTCTCGATGACATGATAGGCACCACATCAAATGCAACGATTACTATTGTTGTAGAGCTCAGTGTATTCAACTTTTTCCTTCATCCCTAACCCCACCCCCCACTCCCCTCTCCCCCACTCACAATGTTGGTCTCCTGTCACCCTCTGGACTTGAATTGGTGAGTGAGTGAGTGAGTGAGTGAGTGGGTGAGTGAGTGGATTGGGGGGGGTGGGGTGGAGATGAGAAAGGGGGAAATGTAAGGAAAGTCTCTTGTGATACAACAAAAAAAATTAAATGCACACAGTGGGTCAAATAATAAAATAAAATAAACACAAAATAATAACGCTTAAATAATAATAATAATAATAATAATCCTCGCGTTTTGTCACAGCGCCCCATCGCGTCGCCGAGACGTCTCGAAGCGCTTCACGGAATATACTGCAAAGTGAATCGGTCGCGGGTTTTCTGGGCAAAACCTTTTCCTCTCCGACTGAGTGACTTGACTTGACTGACTGACTGCTCTGGTTTTGCTGCTTCGTCGGTTTCGCATCGAGCTACGCCGATTGCATCCGAGTTTCGCAAACGAGCAGGAATTCTAGGTGTTGTTTTTTTAAAAAAAACTCTTTCTCTCTCTCTCGCGCTCTCTCTCTCTCGCTCGCGCGCGCTCTCTCTCTCGCTCGTTCGCGCTCTTTCTCTCTCTCGCTCGCTCACGCGGGCTCTCTCTCTCTCTCTCGCGCGCGCTCTTTCTCTCGCTCGCTCGTGCGGGCTCTCTCTCTCGCGCGCGCTCTTTCTCTCGCTCGCTCGCTCGTGCGGGCTCTCTCTCTCACGCGCGCTCTTTCTCTCGCTCGCTCGCTCGTGCGGGCTCTCTCTCTCACGCGCGCTCTTTCTCTCGCTCGCTCGCTCGCGCGGGCTCTCTCTCTCTCTCTCTCGCTGCGTCTGTGCTTTTAACCACCCGCCTCTCCAGGGCTGGCGATGGTCAAGGCACAGATTGCTCATTAACCCAGAGATCTCTGTGCAAATGGCAAGTTCTCAGGATTTTTTCTGTGTGTGTGTGTGTGTGTGAGTGGAGATGAATGAGACACGTGGGTGATTTCTGAGTGTGTGTTCACGTGATTTAAAGCACATCCTTCCTGCTCTGTCCCTGTAGCAGGATCGGGCCCAGCTATGTTGCCCACCCTGTGGGGAATAATAATACCCTGACCACACGCGTGGGTAAGTGACTGTGGAACTGCAGCCCGGTAGAAGGAAAAGAAAAGCCGAACACCTTCTTAAGAGAGGGAGAGAGAGACAGAGGCAGATTATCATCCGAAAGACACACATAGGACCTGCAGCCCTCCCCTCAGCCTTGTGACTGCCGCCCCCTCACACGGGACACTAAAGCCGTCACACCACCACCTGAAAAAGCCACTGTATATTTTTAAATCTACGTAAAAAAAAATCCTCCCGCTCAAGAAAAGATACGTTTTGATGGGGGGGGGGGTCAGCCTTCAGCTTTCTCCTCTACGTCGCAAACGATTTTTTTTAACCCCCCCGGGCTGCTGAACGCCTCTCCTCGAAGGCCGGACACAATCACTCGCTACCGAGCCCTCTCGTGGGTACCGTTCAGATCCTAATTTGAACAGTGAGCTGTTCGAACGTCACCCAAACCCGATACCTCCTCAACCGCACTTTGGGTCATCATTCCCCTCCCTCCCTCCCTCCCCCCACCTCCTCCGACATCTCCCGCCCCCGCCCAGCATCGGCAAGCGCATTGAGATGTCCTCGTGCCTTGTAGGACCGCCCGCTGGGCAGGACACCAGGTGAGACAACCAGGATGTTCCTTCAAAGTAGGAACCCGGTTGGGGTAAAAAAATTTGGTCACTCAATCCGCGGCTGTTTGCGGGGACACTGCTGTGCACAATTGGCTGTCGCGTTTCACCCATAAAATGTACAGTCAATTCACTTTACAGTGTGTATTCTGTCAACGACATGAGAAGGCGCTATATCAAATACAAGGATTATTATTATTATTATGATGGTGATGACGGTGATGATGGTGATGGTGATGATGGTGATGGTGATGATGGTGATGATGGTGATGATGGTGATGGTGATGATGATGACCTGACAGCCACAATTGGTCATCATTTCCGGGAGTGGTTCGGCTCAGAGAGTGATTGAAATAATGGAAATGGGATTAAAATGGTGTTCTAAATCTGCCAAAGATCTGTGTTTTATGCTCTGTGTGTGTGTGTGTGTGGGGGGCTGTGTGTGGGGGGGCTATGTGTGTGTGTGGGGGCTATGTGTGTGGGGGGGCTGTGTGTGGGGGGGGGGCTATGTGTGTGTGGGGGGCTATGTGTGTGTGTGGGGGGGCTATGTGTGTGGGGGGGCTATGTGTGTGTGGGGGGGCTGTGTGTGGGGGGCTGTGTGTGTGGGGGGGGCTGTGTGTGTGTGGGGGCTGTGTGTGGGGGGGGCTGTGTGTGTGTGGGGGGGCTATGTGTTGTGGGGGGGGGCTATGTGTGTGGGGGGGGCTGTGTGTGTGTGGGGGGCTGTGTGTGTGGGGGGGCTGTGTGGGGGGCTGTGTGGGGGGGGGGCCTGTGTGTGTGTGTGGGGGGCTGTGTGGGGGGGCTGGTGGCTTGTGGGGGGGGGCTGTGTGTGGGGGGGCTGTGTTGGGGGGGGGCTGTGTGTGGGGGGGGG